CCCCCCTTACAGCGCAAGCCAAAAAATTTTTGCCCTCCCCATAGCTCTCCAGCTCCATTGCACCGCAGCCTCGGCAACCGGACGAGAATATCTTCAGTTCTTACTACGTAGCGGGTGCGACACACCTGTCCCCCGCTCGAACGCCGTGTCCCTGCGGTCGTCGGCGAGATGAGGCGGCCGGATGGGTGACTTCCCCCTCTTCCCCCAAGCCAAGGAATATGCCGATATTGGATTTGTCAACTTGAGCCCGCTCTCACTCTCTCCGCCTGCAGGTAGATTATCTAGATTATCTCATCCGAGGCCATCCGTCCCATGAGGTAGGCCGGGGGTGACCTACGTGTCTGGCGGGAAAAGAACTGGAGCCGGGGAAAAGACCTCGCGACGTGGTGGCCAGCATGCAGGAGCCCATCGGCATCGGCATCTTCTCATCTAAAGTGTTGCCTATCTCCGTTGGGCGCGTCGTCCAGTTTGGACCTCTGTGTATGGTATGACCGGGCGGCGGCAGCAGGCAAGTCAGCGCTGACGGCGTTCTTGAGCAGACTTTTCTTTCCCCATACCGAGTCACGTCAGCGGCGTCTCTAGGGTCGAAAACAATCCCCCTCCCCTCCTGGTTTTCAGCATACGCCGTGCAGCGAACTTAATCTCTCCAGTCCATCTCATCTATCGCTGACCGTCCACTCGGGAATATACACGCCTCTCCGGAGACGTGCGACGACCTGGTGGTCAGAGACGCCTTCTAAGTCGTCATTCGCTGGAGAATGTGTTGTCCCCCTCTCTCGCTCTCCCTCAGCAGTGCGGGAATCCTCCCGAACTTAGCTGTGTGACACCTCCCATGCTCTGACGAATCCGACCAGCCGGGATGGCGTCTATACGGAGACTCTAACTATTTTGGCCCAGGATTCTTCTCGGGAACGACCTCGTTTGGCCTGGGAGACGTGTCCGCTCGTCGATAATTCGACGGGGGAGTCACCCCGACGGCGACAAGGCCCAAATACCATATGGACGTATGGTTGAGCGATACATACCTACTTGGTTTCTCACGGTTCGGCCACCTTTCCTTTTTACTTTCCCTTGGCCGAAAGAGTCGTACTCAGGCCGTTCGATCTTTCGGCCAAGGTCCCAACGAGTTTTTCGCATGCACGGGGGTCAACTCTGGCCAGTAAGGTCCGCAAATAGGTCCATAGGCCCTGGAAGAGGCCAAGCCCCTCTGATGCTATGTCGCGGGCCGTTGTCTGGTGGGAGGTGACACTGACGTTGGGCAGCTGTCACGTCAGAGAGATTCACGAGAGACACGCCTTACTTACTACACCATACACCCCGTCAGGCCAGGTCTCATCCTTTCCTCCTCTCGGCCGAATTTCCTGTTGTCTCGTCTGCCCATCTCTCTCCTTCTCCCTCTCGCCCTCTTCGCCGCCATCTCGTATTTCCCACCGCCGTCAGGCCACAAAACCTCGCCAACAGGAAACCGATATTTGCCTACAACCGGTAGCCTAAGACGAGCCGTGGGGCGACTTAGCAGGCAGGCAGGCAGATATACCGTACCTATCTCCCAGGGCCTGTTCTATGTTGCATACATAGGCCTAGGCCTAGACACGCGTCACGTTCTAGACACGCCAGAGAGCAATTCCCGCACAGCTAGAGGTAGGAACCGTCTCCCAGCAGCCTGGCCTTTTCCCGATTTAGCCTGAACCGACGACGGGAGACTCGTTTCTACTGGATATCTCGGCCCATCGCCGACGACCAGCGTAGCCCTAATGCAAGGGACGATGTGACCGTAGCCTTAGCTTAGCTTACGAAGACGAGGGGGGGTAGAGAAATATAATGCCAATGCCAATATCAGCCTGGTGGTGTGGCAGCTCCCAATTCGCCTCATGCGACCAGCTCTTGATTGGCCGACCTAGCTGAATTTTTTTTTTTCCTCTCTCTCTATCCCTCCTTCACCTGGCGTACTCTCTCCTTTTTTTTCCTCCCTCCCGCGAATCGTCGATTCTGACATGCCCCGCGTCTTCCCGTCCTATCCGCTTCTCGGTCCGGCACACCTTAACCTCGTAACTATGCAGATCTCATCTTATTACCGACTTGGGGGAGAACTTGCTTCTCACCTAAGCCGCGGAGGATGATGATGAGCAGGGTGATGTACAACACCGGACGAACGATCACATGAGGTAGTACTTTAGACACGATGCGTACAGGACGAGACCCCCCGCTAGGGAAGCCATCGTGCATGCGGTGGTGACTGGTCGGCTCTCGTTGTTCTTTTTCTTTCTTTCTCTCTCTGTCTCTCTCTGTCTATATTTTTCTATTTCCTATTGGTCGATTCAGTCCTACATGGCTTGATCGTCCCGGCTCGGTGTGGGATGGATGGCCGGGAACGCATACATACATACATACATATGTAGAGACCCCTCCCTCCTCCTCTCCGCCCCCCCTGGTCCAATGCAAGGTACCAGAGCGACTAAATCACATCGAGCTGAAAGCCAGAGCAACCAGAGAGCAGAGCGATACGGCGCAAAGTCTTACCCTTGCCAGAAAAGTGAAGAGGGAGAGAAAAAAAGGGCTCCATATGTGATCGGAGCATGCCCACATGCATATTATCCCTTTCCTGTTACTCTTACCAATCTGATAACCCTATGGTTGAAGCGCACGCGCGCTTCTCTCCAACCGAGGCGTCTAAAGTGCATCATCATATACCTGCCTACTCGCCCAGCTACCTACCTACCTGCATACGTATGTGCTAGACAGGATCGATGCATCCGTACTGTCGTCTATGTGCTCGGGGGCTAGATCCCTCGCCCAGACCGTCCCATGGCGACGGCATTCATCTTGGCTAGAGCCCTTGCAACAAAACAAAAAGCGGCGACGACCTGATTTCCGTCCGGCGGCAAGCCGCTGGTGATCGGGGGCGGCCGGTAGACAAGTCGGTAGGTATGTACAATATTACCAACCAACCCGCCCCGCCCACCATCCTGGAGGCTGTGTCGAAGTGTCAGCTTTTAGCAGATCGACGGGGCGGGACGGGTGACGCCATTCGCTAGTTCTGTCGCGCGGGGAGGAGTGGGGTGGAGAGGAGAGAGAGGACAGAGGTAGGGTGGTATGAGGTTTTGACGATCGAGCTTCCTTCGTCGTTTTTTCTTCCGTTCTTCGGCTGGTTCTCACCTGGCTATTTTACGAACGCCAAGCTGTCGAGACGCCTTCAAATTTCCCGTGCGGCGTCAGACGATGTGAAAAAAAAACCGCCTTTCCCGACGAGAGCTGTTGCTGCGTGTGAAATCGTCAGCTCCCAACGAACTTCGTAAAAGCCGCGTGTATAGGGGACGAAAACGAGGCACTCCGCGGAGCCGGAGAGGGTGAAGAAAGAGAAAGGGGAGAGAGAGGGGCGTCGGAAAGACAGCCTCCTCTTAGCCAGCTACTCTTGACGTGACACGCGTTGGATGGGTTTTATTCAGTACGGGCAGTGAATGCCCAACGAGGCTTTTTTTTTTTCCTTCCCTGCCTCTCTCTCCTCCCTCTCGATTCCGCCCCCCTCGCCCTCTTCTCTCTGACTCACCCTCCCCCTTTCCGACCTCTGCGTGTTCGTGTTTTTTTCCTTTCCCCTTTTCGCCCCCTTCCTTTTGCGCCTCCCCGTCACCTCATGTTCTCCGTCTCCCCATCCGTTTTCTTCTGCCTTCCGCGTAAAGTCAGGCCGAGCAGCCAATGGACGACCGATGGGCAGTGCTACGCGAATCCTCGACCACGATGCTCCTGGCTGAGGCGATGAATACGACCCTGCTCTGCCCTTGTTTGAGGGCGGCGACGACGCCGGCGACTACGTGTCAGCCCAGGTATGGCAGGAAAACGAATAAATTAAAACGCGGATATAAGGAAATAGAAGAAAGCAGTCACGCCAATTAATCAATATATGCAGGTACGGGATGACGGTGGCGGCCAAGGTAATGTACACAACCGCATCAGGTGTGAGATCTTCGTGAGCTTCTGCCCGCCCGCCCGCCGTTGTTGAGCATGTTCTCTGCTAATACCCCACGGACTCTCGACCCGGCGTATATCGGAGTTCGGCCACGACATATCGATTTATCGGCATTCCGGACGCCCTCGAGGTTCCGATACTAATTACCGGCTCAGAAGTTAAGGTTACCGCACGGGACGGCATACCTGTTGGATAATTACAATGCGGTACGACTCTGGCGTTACCGGTTTTCCTTCTCCCTGGCTTGTTGGGCCTTTTTGCATCCTTCTCCGAAACAAGGTGCTCTCTTTCCGAACTATGACATTGACACGCATATGGCCATGGTGTAGGCGATGATATTGGGACCCCGTGAGACAACCAGTGTTGGACTCATATAAGTCGGCGAGGGCATCTACACCTGGCGTTTATGCTGTAAGGGGTAGCGACATATCTAAGTGCTTTCGGCGTCGATGGCGCGCCCTGGGTTTGCCTGGGTTGTTTATGTAATACTGTATCAAGTAGCAGTAATTGTCTTGCAAGCCCGTTCCATTGCTCTCCCTCGAGGTCGTAGGCAATGATACTACCAATAGTCGGCTCACTGACAGTAGGCCCTGACCTTGTGCTTACCTTGAGTAAATGATTGTAGCAGAATAAACTCGTGATCTTCCAGCGCCTTAGTGAAGGTTATTCTAGGCTTAGGCCATTGGCTTTCCCCTGAATTAGGCCCGGATAAATACTACCAGATGAGCATTGTCATCGTTTACCTTTGCACGTTATAGAAATCTGGGAGGGAATTCAAAGGGTTTCCTTACAGCCTCGCTCTACTGAAAAATGTATATAGTTAGGTCTTCTCCCCCTATCTTAATGAATACTAAGAGGTAAGTCGGAGCTCGACACTATTTTGATCCCGAAAGCTCTCTTCTTTCCTTCTTTTCTTCTACCTACGGGAAGATTCCTATTTGCCTCTGTATCCTACAATGATCATATGCCTAGGAGTGGATGATCTCGTACTTGCTATACAGTGGTGATGGGTCTCACTGTGGCTACGGATCTGCGATGTCGTCGACCTTACTATTGGGCAATGTCAAGGGTATAACTCCTCGGGGACGATAATAGCGCATAAAGCTCTCGCGACGAGGGCATTTTCTAGTAGACATAGCTATAATACAAGTGGATAGGCGTTGTTTTGTTCCCCCTTAGACCAAAAAAAGACTTTGCTCTCAACTATCTATTACCAGCTCAGTCCCTTTAATGCCCGCTTTCATAGTTAAGACAATTGCCCCGTCGCCTTCAGCGCCGCTCCCTTCTTCGGCGAGCTTGATCAGGGCCTGGCTATGAGTGATGACAAAGACGTATTCTAACCTCTCCGTCATCCAGCGGCACCACTTGAGCACCGAGGCTTGGCCAGATGCGTCCAGGCTGTCGAAAACTTCGTCGATAAGCATGTACCTAGCCACGTGTGCACTCCTGGCTTGTCCCATCATGAATAACGCGAAAAAGAGCGCGAGGTCGACGCGTTTCCTCTCGCCGCTGCTCTTCTTAGCGTACTCGAGGGCCGGGTCTATCGAGAGCGAGGGGTCCAGCACCGAGGCAGGTTCGGGCTTCGTATTATCGAGCTCCTTATCGTATTCGCCATCTCCCTTAAATAAGGCACCGATGGTGCTAGTCGCCATGCTGTGCGCGTCCTGATACATGACCGTGAGGATTTGCCCCAGCAGCTTGTTAAGCTCTCCAAGATGACGTTGCATCACATATCGACGGAATGTCGCCTTGGAAGCCGTAACCTGGCGGCGCGTGAAGGCAGACTGCCAGAAGGTGAAGATCTCCCGGCGAGAGTGTATGCTCTCGACTTCTTGGTTTAGGACGGCTGCCTGGTGGCTGAGGCTTTTGAGGGGCTCGGCATCCAATTCGACATGCCATCTGCAGGTGGAAATTTCCTTCTCGTTGCTAGTGATCATGAGATGATATCTGTCCAAGGACGCTTCCCAATTCATCCTTTCCACGTCCAAGCTTTTCTCCTCTTCCTCAAGATCGTGTTGTTTTCGAAGCAATCTCTGCCTTCGACTCTCACATTCGCGTTGTAGACGGTTATACCGATTTGTCAGAGTCTGTAACTCACCAATCGCAGCAGTCACCTGGCTGGGAACATTCGACGCTCTCTGGACTGTCAGGCTTTTTAGAGCAGTGCGAGCATCATTTTCACTCGCGAAATTCCTATGGGCAATATCCCGGAGAAAGCTCCCTATTCTGTTCTCCATGCCCGCGACCTTTTTTTGCGTTTCAACGACGTGGTTATTGAGCACGGCGATGGCTCCTATGTATTCATCCCATCGTCGCTTAGCTTCGGCGACCGCTCTGTCGAATTCCTTCTTTGCTCTGTAGTTAATGATGTTAAGGATTGAAATCCAGACACTCTGAAAGATATGTATAGTTTTCAGCAGGAAACCTCGCCAGCTACTTGCATCTCTGCTTTGGTCCTCCTCCTTCTCCTCTTTGGTAGTCGAGGGTGGGATCTCCAATGTGTTGTTGTCTCTTAGGAGACGTTCAAGTTGCTCGTCGAGATAGTGCAATCGCGTACTCGTAGCCTTGATTTCCTGCTTGATGTTGGTACCCTCCCGGTCGATAGATAAACGGATGTGTGCCAGTGTCGCTAGGGCACTTTGCTCCCCTACTTTGCCCTGTGCCTGAGATACCTCATTTTGAAGAGCGAGGAGTTTTGGCTCCAGATCTGGCAAAGCCTGCTCAGTCTCGAGGTCTTTTTGTCGCTGTCTTATCTTAGACCCTCTATCAGTTAAAGAGGCAATATGATTTTTTTCCTTTTGTTGCAAATCACGAGCCAAAGAGGTAAGTCCATCGTTAAGGCGACCCAGCTTTTGCCTCATCTTCTTAACTCGACTCTTCAGATGCACAATTGTATGCGTTATTTCTTTAAGTCTGGACTGTTTATCGACGAGCTCCTCGTCTACTTGATTTGTCATGGAGTTGCAGGCCTCTGCACATCCATCCAGAATCCCTAAACCCAAAGTTGCCTCAATCAACTGCCTCTTCTGCAGCGGTGAGGCGCTTAAAAAGCTTCGAGTGCTTTCGTTACCTAGTAGGACAGTTCTGGAAAACGTATCAAAGTCGACGCCTAGCAACATGTTGATGGATGCTTGAGTGCTCTTCGTGTTGTGACCCTGAAACTGCGATTGGATGATGCCGTCCTTTTCCACAATCGTCTGATTCCGAAGCTTGCTATGGTTTCGGGATCGTGAAATGGTATACCCGTTCGAAAATGTTAGGCGGACGTTGCAGTCCTTCTTAACAACATCGTTAACGACGTCATTCACCCCGAGCCCGTCACGGAGGCACTGTCCAAATTGGCACCACACAATCGCCTCGATGATGGTACTCTTTCCCGCTCCATTATGTCCTACGATGAAGTTCATGCCGGGCCGAAAATGATGGCCAAAATCTAGGCGGAGAGTGCCCTGGACTCCTAAGAAGTTTGTGATTTCGACCGAGGTTGGGTGCGAAGCGAAGATGTTTTGAGCGGCTGCTTCGTGTAGGGCATCGTTCGCGTGGATGGATACGAGTGGCGTGGATGGGTCGAGCATGTCTTTGTACTTGATCGTACAGCTGGTCTTGTCGTGGGCAGAACTGCCAACATCTACGAGCCTCTTTCCCACGAGGGTCAATATTTCCCGCCTACTCTCAAGGATAGACCCGAGCTCTAGGGAGGAGACATATTCCTGGACGACTGTACCTAGGTCGACTGATTCGCGCTCTATCTTCGCGGCCACCGAACTGGGTAAAGCAACGGCTGGATGTTCGGTGATATCGACCGGTCTGACCGTCTCTCGATTTCCATCCGGTTGAGTCTGGATATCGACAGGAAGCATGGTTTTCCCGAGACCCCTGGGCTCTAATTTCCATTCCGGTTCAAACGGTTTCCAATCTCGTACGCTACGGACTCCTAATTTGACCAGACGTTCTTTAGCAGAGATGTATTTGTATCCTGATAATCTCCCCGTGATCATGACATGCTTATCATTGACCTGCTCCGCAGGTACTTGGCCCGTGAGCACATCCTGTCCCGCGACAGCCACGTAACCCTCGGCATATGGGTTCGTGACAAGCGCATCCTCCAGAGTTTCGGGGTCCAGTAAAATAACCCCTTTCTGTGTATCGAATAGGTCTCCCCAAGTAAGCTGCAGAGGGGCCCCGATGTATGTAATGCTCCCGCGGAGGGATGAAGGTTGCTCTGGGCTTTGAAGGATCAATTGATGATTGTGAAAGTGTCCCGTAAAGGTTCTCGCCAGTGGCGCGAAGTATCTGACGCCAGTGAGACCGGGGTACCTCGAAGGCAGGCCGGCCTCTCCCGTCTCGGGGTTTACGACGTGCTTCTGGGTTATGGCTCGGTTTATGGCAAGATGGCCAAGCCCAACCGTTGCGGCCGCGCTCTTAGGATCTAGTTCCTGTATGGCTCTGACAATCTGACCTTGGTCCTCGCGAAACGGCATCACAAACACCCGCCTCCCATCCCACTCGTGGCAGCCCACCTCGGCATGGAGGGTCACAAAGGGAGCGAGCCGGCTGATGGCAAGGGCTTCCAAGGCTGAAGTCGTGTAGTCGTGGCGATAGGCTAAGTCGTGGTTACCTAGGATGATATTCACGTGCGGCACCGCCTCGACTAGCTTGTTTAAGAAACGGTAGCACTCTGAGAGTACGTGGGTCGGCTGCGAGGTGCGTGCGGTGAGAAGGTCGCCACAGATGATGGCGCGGCAGACGTTATAGGTGTCGGGAATGGAGGTGATCCAGTTCGCCGCACGAACGACGCGGTCGAGGTCAAAGGGCTTGAAGTGAATATCGCTAGCAAGCAGCCAAAGGGGACGGGCCCCGATTCCCATCTCGAATCTCGCGCCTGGGGAGGTCGTGGTTCAACACCGACGGGTAAAGGCCGAGGGTGCTGGGAACAGTATATCCGAACAGGGGGCCAGGGAGCAACCCACGCACGCCGGAGTGTTGCTGTGTGCTACGCCATGTGTAGGCCCTAAGCTACAGGAGGAGGAGAGGTGAGAAAATATTGTAGGTAGAATGAGGGCGAATTACCTAATTGCCTACCTACCATGTAGCAGGGAACAAGGGTTAGTGCGGGCCCGTGCCTTAGGAGGACTCTTACCTAATATTAGCAACTCCGGTAAGCAGCCATAGATAGGTACCTAAGAGGTAAGTTAGGTGAGGTAGGTACCTCATATTTACCTAGGTGGAGGTCTAGGTAGGTAGGTACCTACGGTAACCTTGGTAGGTACCTCTATCGGCCAACCTCCTCCTGAGAGACCCCGCTTATGCCCGGTAACTCTAGCTACAAGTTATTGCCACACCTACTAACTAACATCCTTCCTATAATAGGTTTTGGGGTCTTTACATTGCATTAACTTCCTTAATAGGTACCTTAATAGGTACCTACCTCGTGAAGAGTTTTGAGTGTGATTAGGGCGATGAGAGGAGTAGGTTGCTGGTTATCCCCAACATAGAGCCTGCACACAGTATCTGAAGCCGGTGCCAGGCCTTACCTCAGGTCAAGTACTAGGTAACCAATGCGTTCTGATGGCTCTGATTGGGGCGTTGATGCCCAAGTTCCCCCCCGCCCCGTCGGCGACGACGGCGCAGACGTAGGGGTCCTTGAGCCATCGAAGCCGATGCCCGGCACAAGTTAGGTTGCGCAATTACTAGGCTGAAGGCCGGGCTGCCGGGCTGCCGGCCATTTTCGGCGCCGCTGATATACGGAGCTTCGCGAGAACCGGTGCGACGGCCATCTGTCCAAGCTGGAGGGTTCCCAGCAGCCAACGGCAGTTAGCGACTGTAATAAACGACAGCCCACAGGGTCACAACTGTCTTCGCGATAGACAGTCCGCTTACTTGGGCGTACAAGCTCAGTCGGATAGGATAGCATTGGATGATAGCGGGTGCGGGTTTCGACTGTTTCGCCAGTCTCCTCAACGACGTGCATCCCCCACGAAACGTAATATCCATAAACCTATGGAGTTCACCGAGATATCCCTCCGCGGTGGCGCGGCTTCTTGTGAGACTTGTAAGGGCGGCCCGGGTTAGCATAATCCCACGGACCGGTTAGGGGCGAGGACCAAGAAAGTCGAAAAGTGACGATGATAACGCGGACGAGCCAGGTGGTAGCACTGGTATTTCCCGCGTGGTCAAGGCTGGCATCTAGGTAGTACACCTGTCGCAAGCAGATCGCGGCTCATGTGTAGTAGCAGGACGGCTATACCTATCTACTAGTTGATGGGGCTAAGGACCTCTGCTGTGGACGAGGAAACTCTGCTCTCGCGAGAGACCTACTTGGCGCGAGTTTTGGCTGGCGTACCTATATCCCCCGTACATGAGTAAAGGGGGTGCCCTCGTTTGAGTCGTTGTATCGAACGGCACGCCACAACGCACAGCCAGCAGATAAAAACAATCTCACCACCAAGTATGGGATCGACCGTGGATATTCTTTCTCGATGAAGCCTAAAAGCCTCCTTTGTCCCTCTCCCTCTGCCCTCTTCCCTCCCTCCGCTTCCCCATCCCCCCCTGCCTTATCCCTCTCCCTTTCCTCGGGCAGGATGTAGCTGGGAAGACCCCCGGTAGCTAGGGATTGGCCTCGTTAGAAAACGCCCGTGACGTCTGCTCAAGGTCATTTTGATGGTTTGTTTAGAACACGGATAGATGGGGGAGTGCGCTGCGTAGCGGGATCGACCCGGGAATAGGTAGGATGCGAACGGTCTATCGAAGGAGGTAGGTAAGTAGCAGGTACGTACGTGCACCGGAGATAGAGGCTGAAAGAAATCGAAGCGAATTGATAAAGGTTCCGACCGACGTCTGTTGCGGACGACACCGCGATCTTGTCCGCTGATTGGGCCGTGCTGCAGAATCTGATAACGTTAAACTGGAGAAGGATCGATCTATAGGTATGACCTTGAACTTGGCAAATCGGCAGGTACATCATATTTTGGGGGCGCAACTGCACGTGAGCCGGCTAAGTGCCCGTGCTTATGGCTCATATAGGGGGTGGTACATGTGATAGGTACTCACGAGGTTACATAAGGGCAATGGGTGTAACGCTAACCGAGGGGCCTCTTGCCTTTCACCCACGATGCCTCACCTTGGGTTAGGTACCTGACTCGATGTATCAGGTACCTGAAATCTAAAATTCCCACCTTTGGCTGTTCGCTAGCCGAGCCCCAGCCTCCCACGCGTTCCGTGAAATAGAAAGGGTCTCCCCTCCGCACTTGCTCTCCCCTTACGTTCCCCATATCAATAGGTATATTGCCACGTACCTAAGTAGGTATGCATAACAACCAGGGAATAGATATATACCTCCTAGGTAGGTACAGATATATATTTATGTTCACGTCCTAATGTACCGTCGTGTGGACATGAAAAAGTACTTGTCACACTGTAGGTGTACCTAAGGTACCTACCTTAGGTACCTACCTACCTGTTAGTGAGGTCCTGGCTCCTTCCCCTCGGAGGTAACCCAGAACAGACCCGCCAAAAAGATAAAAACGTACCACTAACGTACCACCTAACCACCTACAAAATCCGCCGTAGATTAACCGGGGCATTGATTGGAAGTAACGGGTACAAGGTCGTGCGCCTCCATCCCCCTACCCGGAGATGAGCTAAAGAACGAAGACTACCAAGTAGCGCTGTTAGGAATCGAACCTATCCTTCGTTAAGTAACCTACTGATCTCCCGGTAATGTACATACGGGCAAACCCACCTGTACCTGGCGCGCCGGGCTCTGTCGGACCCTGAGCAGGTACCTGAGCCGGCGCCTCTGCACACCGAACACGGCAGCGTACCGCTGAAACTATCTCATCGCTGTTGTACACGGTACAACGCGGCGCATGTGCGCCGATGTATATACGCATGTACATCTGCCAGGTGGATCCCCCGTTGGCGGCTGCACCTTACCAACCATGCCTATGTAGGGGTACCTACCACCTAGGCAGGTCCGCAGCGCCCGCGGCCTACTTTTCTTGGACCATTCATCATCCAACAAAGAGCCCGGCAGGACCACCACAAGAACCACCCGCCGTACATCACCACTGTTCATCCATCCCTCCATCCATCCCGTCTCCCTAAAAAAGGGAAGCGGAAGAAGATAATTAATTGATCTCTTCCTCTCCTCGTCGCCGTCCTTAGCGGGCAAGAGTACGGGAAGTTCGGTAGGGACCACGTCCGGCCCGCTGCAACGCATCCGATGCGATTAGTGGCATTCCGTCAGATCGATCGCATGTAGTCGCCAACGCCATGTCCGTCGAAGCGACCGCCGCAACGGCGCCTGCGCCCGAGACTGCGATTGAGATCGAGGTTGCAAGTGAACCATGCCAACCCTCCAACAATGACGCACGCAACCCCAGCAACACCAATAAGCATTCCGGCCTCCACTCGCCGCCCGAAAGCAACGGCGCAGCGAAGGACAGTAGTGATTCCGAGCTGAGTGACCTGGACGATATCGAAATTGACCTCGACCTGTCGTCCCCTTTGCCCTCCGGACCCGCGGACCATGCCAAGCAGGAGGATGTCGTCAAGGAAGAGGGGGACGACGAGTGTGCGGCCGGCGGCGGCGACGACGACATCGGCGAGGTTGTCCCCGACCACTGGTCTGGCACCGTTCCCGTCTTCAAACCCGACATACACCAATTCAAGGACTTCAAGAAATTCGTACGAGTCCTCCCTAAATATCCGCCCGTTTCTGCTGTTGTTTGGTGTCGATAGTACTAACCCATTCGCCTTCGCAGATGACCAAGATCGACTGCTATGGCATGAAGTCCGGCATCGTCAAAATCATCCCGCCGCAGGAATGGAAAGACCAGCACCCTCCCCTCGATGAGTTGGTTAAACAAGTCAGGGTTAGGGAACCCATCAAGCAGGACATAATGGGATCGAATGGCACCTATCGACAGGTCAACATTCTCCATCAGCGATCCTACAATATTCCGCAGTGGCGGCAGCTCTGTGACCAGAGCGAGCACCAACCCCCAGCAAGGCGGGGGGAGAGGCGCGCGCAGGCTCCTCCTCGGCCAAAACAAGCGTCGTCGTCGACTAACACCGAGTCCAAGACACGTGGGCGATTGACTAGGAGTAAGAATAAGCGCGGTACGACAGATTCAGAGGACCGACCTATGACACCGGTGTCGCCGAAGCCGAGTGAAGAAATCATGGAGTCTGTCGAGCAGGGTCCTGGCGCGGATGCCGACGAGACTGCCACTACTCCAGTTATCGGTCGGATGGGCGGATCGAGGCAGGCGAAGCCAAAAACACAGTCCACGTCGGCCCGACGAAAGTACGCGAGGCGAGAAGCGTCAGCTAAGGTCGATGAAGAAGCCTTTAAGGACTTCGACTACCGCATGGACATCTCTGACTACACACCTGAAAGGTGCGAGGAGTTGGAGCGTATTTACTGGAAGACCCTCACATATGCACCGCCCCTGTATGGTGCGGATCTACCGGGCACCTTGTTTGACGAGAAGTGCGACGTCTGGAATCTCAACAAACTCCCAAATCTCCTTGACGTTCTAGGCACCAAAGTGCCTGGCGTTAACACTGCGTACCTCTATCTCGGCATGTGGAAGGCAACTTTCGCCTGGCACCTCGAAGATGTTGATCTATATAGCATCAACTACTTGCACTTCGGGGCTCCGAAACAGTGGTACAGCATCTCCCAGGGCGATGCCCGTCGCTTCGAAGCCGCCATGAAGAGTATCTGGCCGACCGATGCCAAGGCTTGCGACCAATTTCTACGACACAAAGCTTTCCTCATTTCGCCAAACCACCTGCTCCAGTATTTCAATATCAAGGTCAACAAGTGCGTTTCATACCCGGGGGAATTCGTCGTTACTTACCCGTATGGCTACCATTCCGGATACAATCTGGGGTACAACTGCGCTGAGGCTGTTAACTTCGCTTTAGACTCGTGGTTACCCATGGGGAAGATCGCGAAGAGATGTGAATGTGCCCAAGCCCAGGACAGTGTTTGGGTTGATGTATACGAGATTGAGCGGAAACTGAGAGGAGAAGAGACGGATTTCGAGGAGAGCGTGGATGAAGAGGATGACGAGGATGACCCGGATATGGGTGTGATGACGCCGCCATCATCTCATGGCGTGCGATTCAAGCAACCCGGACGGAAGCGTAAGCACCCGGCAGTCGACAAGAAGGAGAGGAAGGCGAAGAAGATACGACTCCACGTCAAGAGTCACGCTGAGCCCCCCTGCTGCCTCTGCCCACACGATATTCCGGGCCAAGGCGTGCTGCCTACGACTGATGGCCGCGCAGCCCATCGTATATGTGCCCTTTACGGACCAGACACCTGGATCGAGACCGTTGAGGGCCGGGAGGTAGTTGCTAACGTGGAGGATGTCAGCAAACCGCGACTGGAGCAAAAGTGCTTGTATTGTCGTTCGAAGAGGGGCGCGTGCTTCCAATGCTCTCAAAAGAGATGTGCGCGGTCATATCACGCGACGTGCGCTGCCGCAGCCGGGGTGTTTGTCGAGGAGGCCGATGTTCCCATCTTTGGCGAAGACGGCACCGAATACAAGGAGCGTGCTTTCGAGTTCAGCTGTCGCTTCCACAGAACCAAGAGGGACAAGAAATTAGATGGACCTGCCTTGGAAGAGTGTCAGAAGATCCGCCAAGCCGCGGCCGCTCTCGGGAAAGGCGATATATGCCAACTACAATATTACCGTGGGGAAATATTCGCGGGTGTTATTGCCGAGAATCGCGCGGATGAACAGACGTTTTTGCTTGATATTATGCCTAACGGGTGCGGAGCTTTCTAACCACCCCTTCCTAGCAGAAGATCGCTATTGCTAACTTCGTCCAGGGACCGAGTTGAAGTCGAATGGAAATGGCTCCTACTTCCGGATCCGGCCGACTTCCACCTAAAGAAGGCGTCGCCAAATGCTATCCCTATGCCGACATCACGCCAGGCCAAGGAAAGGATCAACGCTACGAGGAGGGCCGCGGAGGAGCTTCCACGCGTGGACGCGCCCTTCGTCGACGGATTTACTTGGGCCGAGTTTAACAGTTGTGTTTGTACTAACATATCACAAACTAAAGTGGATTTGGCCAAGGAAAACCAGCTTTGGCATTACCTAGGAAGAACATCTACAGAGGCTCGCGCGCAATATACGGAAGATCCCAAGAAACCGAGGCACAACATCAAGAGTAATTTCTTGGACACCGTCCCGCGGCCAGCTCCGCCGACGGCACAGCCTCGCAAATCGTACGGATCTACGTTTTCCGTCCAGACCTTAAGCACAACGCCCGTCAAGTCTGAGCGGCCGTATCAATACAAACCGAGGGATTACACGACGCCTTCTTATATCCATTCCCCATTTACCTCCCAACAGTTCACACCAATCCCCTCCTTATTCGTGGAACAGCAGTTCACTCCGAAGCCGCCGGCCTATTCCGTGCCACAAACTACGCAAAAGCTGCATTCTATCCCTCGGAATGGTGCTCATTGCCCGCAGCATATCGTGCCGAAGCCGGTACCCGTAGACCAGCAAAACGGCGGGTGTCATTTGATACAGCCAACAACCCCAAAGCTGGTGCCCGTACCCCCAAAGAGCGGACAAGTATCGCAGGCGTCTACATCGCAGCTATCGGGGCAACTTTCCCAAGAACCCATGCCGAAGACAGCCTCAATACCCCGTCCTACCCCCCCGCAAAACGGACATAGGCGACATCGCTCATCACTCGGTGGGCAGAATGGCCAGCCGTTATTTTTTGGATCTGATCGTCGGTTTAGGACGCCGTCGTTTTCTTACGGGTCTGGTCGGTATGATTCTGCCGCCAAATCGCCCTTCAGCCACGGATTTACGCAACCTCCAGGTCTGGGGACATCTCCGTCGCCGCAGAACGGCCAACTCTTCCAGGCTCAAGCGAGGGCCAGGTCTAATTCGCTGGCATCGAACCGTTCATTCGATATGCCAATGACCTCATCGGCGATCCGACCACTATCTTCGGCATCTACCCAAGGCACAACGGAGGAAACGCAGACATGCCCGCAAAATACTGTCAAACAGGCGCGACCAAGCATCGTCCAGAAGTACGCTTTCTTTCAGATCCACCATAATAGGTATTATAACCCAAGTCCTCCAATATGAATTTCGTACTGACCACCGTCGCTTAGAGATTCTACTAAATATAGGACGCCTTATGCCCACTGGGGCGGGTTTACTAATGGGTATGAGGGTAGTCTCCGAGCTCATTTAATGAGATCGCCCGAGGCCCTGTTTGATATTAGGAGGCAATCAACGGGCGTTAGTGTTGGCGCCACTTCTGGTCCATCCGCAACCCATTTCATGCCGTCGTCTAGCTCCGGCATCTCGAACAAGGGCGCCTCGAATCCCCCGCTACACACGGGCACTCGCGATTGTTCTCACCAGCTAGCTGCACCACCGGCTTATGCTCCTCCACACGTGGCTCCGCAGACAACACTGCCGATATCGCCCGATTCACCACGCGGTCGACAGGTGTCAATGGAGAATACAAATTCTTGGGGTCTAAACGATGGATGTACGGGGCAATTGCACCCGGCAATTCGAGCTCAGTATGCCGCAATGCTACAGAGCCGGAAGGCTGAAGCCCCAGAGGATGACGGCAGGGCGCAAGAAGCCTCGCCGCACCAACCGCCGCCCCCGACTCGCTCTAATCCGTTCACGGGCGCGGTTGTTGCGCCTCCTACCTCCGTGGGACGGGATCTAATGCGGCCCGTAATGGCTCCCTGCGCACTTCCGGTCTCGACTGCTGCGGACCGGGACTTGCCCGCGCCGGCGGTCTCGACGCCGTCCGCCAAGGTCCCGAGCGTACCTAAACAAACCTACATACCCCCTCCTCGCCCATGGGAAGCATTGAGAAAAACTCAGCCGGAAGCGCAGTCGTTCCCACAGCCTTCAATCCAGGTCCCACCCCCCATGGCTACAACTCCAGCTACGATGTTCCCGACTAACACGCAAACAATAGCAAATTCGGCGATTGACCCTGGAATCGGAAGCCAAAGGCACATAGCAGGTCTAGGGCTCCAGCCCAGTCATGTAAGCGGACCTTTCTGGCAGAAGCTTCCGCAGACAGCGCCTAACAGCAGTAGCTTCGGGCAGACCAGTCACGGGCCACCACACACGACTCACGACGGGCATACATTCAGCAACCACCAAATAATACCACAAGACGATCGCCAGGAGCGGCAATACGACGACCAGAGTCGGACTCAAACCCACACTCAACAGTAAGAATAGTAACCCAATTATCACCACTGGTGGCTCTCCCGCCTCCAGCCGTCTCTGCGGAAGATCTTCCCGAGGTGCCGGAAGGATCGTCAGAGCTGATTGAAAGTATTGTAAGGAATGCTAGGAGAGCTAGTAGCGCGTTTCTCGGCGCTACTACCGGGGCCGTTTGAAGGCCCTTCCAAGCGGGGGAAAACGCAACGAAAGGTGCAGGCTACCGGAAAGGAAACGGGCACGGCGAACCTGCGATACCCATGGTCACCTGGGCACTTGGGAGGACGGTACGGGTGTGCCATGTGGAGTTCGGCGTCGGGTGGACGAGGGTGATCTTGGGTGGACCAGGCGCCTCCTCGAAAGTGCGATGGCATTTCTCTAGACTCCAATGCCTGCGTTGGGTTGCCTGCGTTGGCTTGCCTGTGTATTTTATATTCTATTACATTCCCCTTCCTCTCTTGCCCCGTTCCTACCCCTTTCAAGCGAAGGGGTCCAGAAAGACGAAGCACGAGTTAGGCACGTTACTTGTGGCGGGGGGCACCATTCCGGCCCCCTTTTCTTCACTTTCCTTCGGTTTTTCCATCCGGCTGGGTTTGGTGAGGCTGCATGAGGTGTACATGGGGCGAAAAATGGGCAGGGGGAAACCGGAATAGCGTATACTAGGCGATCGATTCATCGTGGTAACTGGGCGGGTAAAGAAAGAGTTTCGAAGTTCCGATATCAAAATAACATGGGGAGGGTGGTTGATTTGCACAATTGCCGGGTTAATCATAGTTTACAATCTATGTAGTTCGTACACCTTGACATACCGGACATGGCTTCGATCAGATGGGAACGATGGCGGGAAATGCCTGGCTGCTGTCTTGTTGAGTACTGGCTTACGGTGGTCGACACCCAGTGTCAGAGGTGTCTTGGGGTGACCCCTATGTTGGTATAATATGACACCTACTCAGGGACGACGTGCGCTTACACTAGGGCGCGGAATCTAGTCTTGATGCAAATTATCCATGTGATTTTGCCCCTTTACAAACCACCTCCTTTTCTTATACACAGGAGGCTCGTCCTTTAACCTGATGGCTTGTCGTGGATCGCCTTGGGTTTATCCCTTCCCATTGTTAATAAGTCTGGCTGCAGTGTAGGTACCTAGCTTCTTCTTACCAACCGGGGTTGCCCAATTAGGTACCTAGGGAGTATAAGCAGGCCATGCAAAATTACTCTATACCTGCGGTTGACTACTGGCTCTATTCTCTAAGGCAGACTGGGTTAGGTACCTATAATAGGCGCTACGTACCTGCTTAGGAGGTAAGTAAGTGTGGTGAATCTGGGGAGCTCTATTAGAGTCGTGTCACAGTACCTACCTTAGGTACCCATGCCCTTGAAAACTTGGGCCAGCGTACACTCGTCCTAGGGTACCTAGGTAGGTAGGAGATGAGCTAAGTAGCGAAGACTACTAAGTAGCGCTATTAGGAATCGAACCTATCCTTTATTAAGTAGCCTACTGATCTGGTACCTAGGTATAGAAGGTATAGGAAGGTAACCTACCAGAAGCTGTCGTGGGGGTTTACGAGCCGCCCGATAGCCAAATTAGGTAAGCGGGCACCTCCCCAGGTGGGAAGTTGGAAATGGGTGGGGGCGGCAAATTCTTATCGGACTTATCGCTACCGCGCCGCATGCCTCGCCAGCTTATGAGTATGGGGAAAAAAATATTGACGGTTCCATTGCAATCCAAACCTCGCTCTGTATCACACTCACACCCAACCCACACCCATCCATATCCACATTCACCACCTGCACATCCACACACACACTCTCTCTGTCTTTCGGCGATTTGAGGATCGAAATCCTGACGGCCTCGTATCGCTTACTCGCTTCTATCTGCTAGCTGATCACTGGGTCTTCATCGATCTTGGCGCGTAGTAACCCGCCTTGCATCAACGATGACTGATAATGCCGATGTCAAGGGTGCCAAGGCGGTGCGCAACGACCGAAAACGCTTGAGCAGTTCTGCCGAGGATGCGCCTAAGAAGCGCATCAAGACCGACCGTGACGACCACGACGACCATGCCGACCTTCAAGAGCAGAAGCCAGCCAAGCCCAACTACCTGGCGCACTGGGGCAATGGAGCCGGCGATGGAGACGATGGAAACGGCGATTGGAATGGGCTTGAAAACCAGGATAGGGCTGGCGGCTGGCTGCCCAGGGGTTCTCCGTTCGCGCGCTTCGAGCCACGGCAGACCACCGCCCAACAGGCATCTGAGGCCGAAGACAGCAAATACAATCCCCTCACTGGCGAACCCCATTCGGAAAAGTACTTCACCATTCTCAAGACGAGGCGCAATCTTCCCGTTCACAAGCAGAGGTACGTGGACCCCGCTCCCTTCCTTCTCCCTCCCCTCCTCTTCGTAGATCTTGCCGCTTGTCTGTTGCTGTTCCTCGTTGACCTTAACGTGTCTCGACTACAGGCAGGAATTTCTCGATCTCTACCACGAATCCCAGGTCCTCGTCTTCGTCGGCGAGACCGGCTCCGGGAAGACGACCCAGATCCCTCAATACGTCCTGTACGACGAGTTGCCGTATCTGGAACGCAAACAGATCGCCTGTACCCAACCCCGACGAGTGGCTGCCATGTCTGTCGCGCAGCGCGTCGCGGATGAGCTCGACGTACCGCTGGGAGACGAAGTCGGCTACAGCATCCGGTTCGAGGACAAGACTAGCCCTAAGACCATGCTCAAATACATGACCGATGGTATGCTGCTGCGAGAGGCGATGAACGATCCCGACATGTCCCGATACAGCTGCATTATTCTCGACGAAGCCCACGAGCGCACGTTGGCCACTGACATCCTGATGGCGCTTCTCAAAACGGTGGTCAAGCGCCGCAAAGACCTCAAGCTCATTGTCATGTCGGCCACTCTGGATGCCCAGAAATTCCAGCGTTACTTCTTCCAGTCGCCTCTCCTAGCCGTTCCGGGTAGAACGTTTCCCGTGGAGATCTACTACACACCAGAACCAGAGAAGGACTACGTAGAGGCTGCGATACGCACTGTGCTCCAGATTCACGCGACCGAGCCGGAAGGCGACATTCTTCTCTTCCTGACCGGCGAGGAGGAGATCGAGGACACGTGCAGGAAGATCTCTCTCGAGGTTGATGAGCTGCTTAGAGAGACAGACTGTGGCCCGATGAAAGTGTACCCTCTATACGGTACCCTACCCCCCAACCAGCAGCAAAAGATATTCGAGCCCGCACCCGCGGCCCTGAGGAAGGGAGGCAAACCCGGCCGAAAGTGCATCATATCGACCAACATTGCCGAGACGAGTTTGACTATTGACGGGATCGTGTACGTCGTTGACCCTGGGTTCAGTAAACAGAAGATCTATAACCCCCGCTTGAGAGTGGAGTCTCTCCTAGTCTCTGCGATCTCCAAGGCTTCTGCTCAACAGCGAGCCGGTCGAGCCGGTCGAACAAAGCCTGGCAAATGCTTCCGTCTCTACACGGAGGAGGCGTTCAAGACGGAGTTGACCGAGCAGACATATCCCGAGATCCTCCGATCGAACCTGTCCAACACCGTGCTAGAGCTGAAAAAGCTTGGCGTCAAGGACCTAGTTCATTTCGACCTTATGGATCCACCCGCCCCTGAGACTATGATGCGAGCTCTGGAGGAGCTCAACTACCTCGCCTGCCTCGACGACGAAGGGGAGTTGACGCCACTTGGTAGCCTCGCGTCCGAATTTCCCCTAGACCCTAGCTTAGCGGTCATGCTCATCTCAAGTCCCGAGTTCCACTGCTCAAACGAGATCCTCTCGATCGCTTCGCTCCTCTCCGTTCCGCAGGTATTCGTTCGGCCGGCCCAGAAGAGGCGGCAGGCCGACGAAATGAAGAATCATTTCAAGCATCCAGACGGCGATCATCTAACCTTGTTGAACGTCTACCACGCCTTCAAGGGAGTGATCAACCGTGGCGAAGACGCCAAGCAGTGGTGTCACGAGCACTACGTCTCCTATCGTCACCTTTCGAACGCGGACAATGTCCGCAGCCAACTGCGGCGCATCATGGACACCAACGGCATAGAGCTTTTTAGCACCGAGTTCACCGATAAGGACTACTATATCAACATTCGCCGGGCTCTCCTCAGCGGCTTGTTCATGAAGGTCGCTAAGCGAGAGAACGGCAAGGTGTATCGCACGCTCAAGGACAATAACCAACCTGTCATGCTGCACCCGAGCACCGTTCTCGAAACCGAGTACGAGTGGGTCTTATACCACGAGTTCGTCCTCACTACGAGGCAGTATATCCGAACGGTCACCGGAATCCGGCCGGAGTGGCTCTTGGTAAGTCGACAAGAAGTTCCCTAGCAGCTCCGCGTTGGAGATACGGGCTAACATGATGAATGACAGGAACTGGCGCCTCTTTACTACGATTTTGAATCCTGGGAAGGACAGAAGGATATCAAGCTTGCGCTGAAAGCAGTAGCCGACAAGATGAGACGAAGGGCCGCCATGAAGGGCCGCCGTTGAAGAAAAGAAGAGCAACCCGCACTGCACGGGCGGTCTCGCGGGGATAGAATCCGATCAGGCGCGGTCGGGCCGAGTTGATACCCCGTAGCCAGCGTACACAGGACGAAGGGTGGTACCGCGCGGAGCGATGGGGGAGCGTATAGGTTCATTGCTGCGGCCATGGTATCCTTTCTAGGGGGGGCGCAAGACGAGAGGCCGCTCGTCCATCCGAGATCGGGCACATCTTTGGATCGCCGAAGAGCACCATGTGCTATATTGTAGCGTTGTTGGGGCGTGCCTTGCGCCGAAGTAGTCCAGGCCGAAATTCCTTCTTTCCAGGCGATCGTCTCATGTCACGGTCTGTGGTGCTGTGAAAATTTGCGTTGAGCAGATGCGTGACCTCGCGGCAGGAACCGGGAAAGGCCATGCCGCGCGCGAACTGAGATTGGAGATCAGGGCGTGTTCCTCGCTTGGCCACGGCCCTTTGTATTTTACGATATACCCTAGCGCCGGATAGCTTACTGCATCCTACAACTAGAGCCCCCATGCCTGCGGCGTTAGATTCTATCCCGATTCGATCGTCAACTCTCCTGCCGCCCCCCTCCCCATCTCTCTCTGTTTCTACCAACACGTCTGTAAAGGAGGGCGAAGGGTGGCGGGAAGGAGAGGGAGAAGGCCGGGGCTTCCCCCCCCCCCCCCAACGCTTCCCACGCCCGTAGGCCTAACGACGGCGCAGCGACGTGACGGGGTGGTAACGCCGAGGCGCAGTCTGCATCCTACTACCCTACTCACGCCCGCGACGCGCCCTCTCAGGCCCAATCGCGGGGTGGGAGGTTCAAGGAGGCAGATGGGGCGGCGGCCGAGAGAGCAGAGCAGAGCAGAGAGAGATAGGGGGGGAGGAGGGGGAGGGTAAGCGGATACACGAGAGCGACGCCCTTCCCTCTGCGCGCTCTAACCTCTCGTCCTCGTCCCCCTTGGCAGCGGTCCCTACGAGCGCTCCCTCACCTAACCCTCGACACGGGGGGTCCGATCTCGGGTGTACTGGCGCTACCTACCTACCTACCTACCTACCTGCGGCTTCTGCCGCCGCCGCCGCAGCGCAGCCGATGCAGCAGCACGCACGCACGCTCTGCGCGATAGTAGCTCTCGCCTCGCGAGCGCACACCGCCCACCCGCACGCACGCCTCGCCTGGTCTCTCCTCGGCGCCTTTCGCGTATGCCCGCCGCAGTGGGCGGGCGCAGCGTCCCATCCGGTTCGCCAGGGGCCCACGTCCGGGACTTGCCTCGAACGAGAGGCAACCCGCGCGCACCAACGCGCGGTTTGCGGCGGCCTGGCAGGCTGGCCTCCTGCGCACTCGCCCCCCAGACCGGCCAGCGTGGTGGGTTGGGCTGTGGCGGCGGCGGCGTTGCTTCTGCCGCTGGCGTCGTCGTGGCGTCGCTGCGGCGTCGCGGCGCACGCACTCGCATGCCTACCTCAGGGTACTACCGTCTGGGCGTGGGTGCGTTATGGGTGTGTGATTGTGTATGTGTGTGTGGTGTGTGGATGTGTGTGTGTCGCGGCCATCCGCCACCCCTTGTCGCCCAGAGCCTGCTCGCTTGCCTCCCTCGCTTCCCGTGCCAGCCCCCCCTCCTCCTCCTCCTCTTTCCCCTGGTCGTTCGGTCGATGTCGGTGCCTCGAATAATTGGCGGGCCGAGCTTGACCGGGTTGACAACGAAAGCTGTGCTGGCTCGATGGCGAGGTCGTGTGCGTGTCCGCACGGGGGCGGCGGCCACTCGCGACGCAGCACTGTCGTATCGACGGGCCCTCGAGCACGACCTCGTCCCGGGGGGGCACTGGGAGCGCGCGCTCACTACCGGACATGACGAGTCTCATCTCACCTCACCTGGCTCTGCCCAGGCCCGCCCGCATATCCCCCCAAGCTAATCGGGTGGGAAGCGGGTGGTGTTGCGGCCCATCCAGCTCGTCTCGCTCAACCAGATACAGATAGATACCTTTCATGCATGTGTACGGGATGTCTAATGTGTCTGTATACGCAGGAAGAGGGGGGAGGGGGACACTTATCGTGTGGAATGCACCCGAAGAACTGCTACCAACAACGGCCCCGTTCTCCACCCCTCGGGCACTGTCTACGCTCCTCGGCGAACAGTGTACATGCAAATGGACGCAGTCGGCGCTTTAGCGGGGCAGGTCATCTATCATATATAGTATACGCAGTGAAGAGGCGGCTTGGCGACGGGCAAGTCGAGCTCGGCAAGATGAGAACCCGCTCGTGAACGTCCCCTTGCGTCGCGCGTGTGTATGCAACAGCGGGATTGCGATCGTTCCTGACCGCGTGTGCTGGTCGATCCTCTCGGCCTGCTCACTTTCTCTTTTGTCTTGGCCCCCGTGAGTAAACAATGAGAAGAGAAGAGGTGCCGAGGAGGCAGAGGAGGACAGGCGGACAGGCTCTGGGCTATACGGACGCGGGGGGAGAGAACTTGCGACGGGGGTCAAACCACTGAATCAACGCCTACGTGACAAAGCTCGCGGTGATATACGCGTGTACATACACACGAGTATGTCTTTTCCTCGCAAGTGATCAGGGGCCTTTGCCTTGGATAGTACGGCGAGTGTGAGGCGTCTCGAGGGCACGAGTCGCCACAAAAAGGGACGAGGAGAATAAATGACGTAGGGGGTATTAAACCGCTCCATTTAACATACCTACCACTGAATTTTCTCACAGGCCCTAGTAACGGGACACACGAGACACACGAGTTTCCTGGATTCGTTACCCACAATACCGATCCAACATGTAGAAGAGAGCAAAAAAAAAAAAAAAAGGAAAAAAGAGGAGACAACGAGAACGGAGCACCCTGACTGGGTCGGGCAATTCTCGATTTGGGGTCGGCGAGTTTCTGCTGTTGGTTGATATCCATGGGAAAAGTGTAGCTATGTCCACATGGCGGACTATGGAGATCTAGTGCTATGTGACGGGGACAGGAGAGGACGTCACCTATCCGTGCAGAGATTTATGGACAGAGGTTATTAGAGAGACAGGAATGAGGAAAAGAGAGGGATGAAGAAAAAACTAGACCACGATTCACCTCACTCGAGGTGGATAGGAGTTTGGGCTTCCACATGGCGCGTAACCATTGTCATCGCGCAGTTTGTTGGCCTGACGAGCGACATTTTCCGCGCAGGGGCGGTTCAGGGGCGGCTATTCACAGTGTCCCCATAACACGTACGCACACTTGGCAGATAGATACCTAAGTCGAATACACCCTGATATCATGGTCCTCCTGGGGCGCGAGTCCTTCTCGAATCCTGCGTACGTCGTGCCCGCTGAAGAACCCCCAGTCTACTCCTGTAACTCAACATCCACCTCCAGTCTGTCTCTCTGTCGCAGTCGGATAATTAGTATGGGATTGCTACTCCTAGATTTGACGCGTTTCCGCGAGTCTCTCTCGCCAAAAAGTCTGGCTGTCCAGGCCTTCTTGAAACCGATCGCCAGGGTACGCCGCAATATGGCGCCGCCGCGCCTAGCTACCTACCCAGTTTTGGGGATGCCAGGGGGAGAGCAGTAAGCGGAGGGAGGGAGGTCTCGGATCGCATAGTCCGATTTCAGCAACGGGCCAGCTCCTCGCCCAGCGATCGCCATGTCCCTCGGCCCGCTACTCACAGACTTCACGCCACCCGACGACTGCACCGCATCTTCCGCCCTTCATTGGGTCAAGGCCGAGGCTGCCTTCTACTGGCTGCATGAGCGGCCGGCCAGTCATCTTGCTCTTCTATTCTCACCAGAACCAGTACTATGCCTGGTCCAGGGATACGCCCCATGGGCTACGCTCGCGCGTGCGAATTCGTCTCGACAGATCGCCGTACCGAGATAGCTACGCGCGCCACTAGTTGTCCGTAAGTATAGCTTCACTCTATACCCTCCATCTTCCCCAATATGCTATGTATACGTCCTCTACAACCACTAGAGCGTCTCCGCTTGTCTCGCTTCATGTAAGATATGAACATGCATAAGGTCAAGGGACGACGACGCTGAGAGCGTAGCAATTACTCTCCTTAGCCTGACACCGTTAAAAATCTGCTAAAAATAGGAATGAAAACTATGTCTGTGTAGAAACGTCGAGCCGCTACAGCCACCCTTGGGGCCCAATGCTAAGTTGCATGAGTGCATACCGCATCGATACGGACACCAGCTTCACAACGATCAACGGCACTCTCCAAGGAGGGGAGAAGGCTGGCAGGCCAATGAGTCTTTACGAGCGCCCGGCACCATCATGGCGGATGGAGTTGTGATCAGGAATGGACTTGAGACATAACGACTGCAGATGGAACAAAGGCGACGAGAATCCCCGTGTCAGCCTTAGACAGTAGCTCGCAATCACGGAATCCTAGCACCGTTTCGGAAACAGCGGCGGCGGCAGTAGAGCCTCTGTCAGATGGAGGCGGCGGCGGGCATAGCTCCGACGCTGTGGTTGGCTTTAAGGTGTTGGGATTACATTGGTTATTTCGGTGGTGGCCGGCGCGTTGGTGTGGCTATTCTGGACGAGGCGCCGAGGGAGGAAGCGCAAGCCGTCAGCACAAAACACAGTATGCGCCTCAGGATCAAGGCGCCTGACGGCATCGACGGCGGCAACGCCCCCCTCGCGTCGTGCAGGTCAACTGGCCACCGTCGGAGCTGGTGACAGCCCATCGATTGAACCCATCCCTAATGCTAGGAACATGACTAAATATAGATTCCCGAGTTAACCCCACAAGTCATAAAGCGAGCCCGGGCCCTCCGTCGCCAAACTCGACATGTCGGCGACACGTCGAATCTCCTGCGCAGGTTTAGTAGTCATCGAGGGGTTCGTCGATGTTGGCGGCAAAAGGCATAGCACGATAATGTGGAGAAAGGCAGGACGAGCTGAGATAGTTGAGAGTAGTACCGTGTGCGGGCTGGGGTTTATAGATACGCCTATGAATGGTAGGAGATCGTTAAGTGCTAGACTATTACTGCCAGCTAGAGCACGCAGGTTTCTGCGCCTAGAGCCATTTGTTTTCAACCAAAAGATGTAAAGGGTAGTGTCTTCAGGTAAGGTGATCCACACACATGCACGCAGACGACCATCTTATCACCAGAGGGAGGCCGAAAATAGTCGTTAAAATCGAGTTCAAAGAATCACTTGCTGTTTAGGGGGTTATGGGGGTAAACGTAGATCACCCGTTCCCCCAACTAGATTTGGAATTTCCAGCCTGGTGTGAGAAGATTTGGAATCAACAAGATGGCTGGATGCTGAGCGGAGTTCGAACTTAAGCTTGCACAGCGTATACGTTAGGCCATCGCATTGTTCGATCTGACATCGAGCTCTGCTCATTCGGCCACCTGTATCTCGGCCTGACGGTAACCACGGGGCCTTCTCGCGGTGGGTTGCCCAATTTCGCGAATCCACCAAAAATAAGGCCTGCTGCAGATGTAAGAGAATGTCAGCCACTGAGTACCCGCACGACTTCCTGCCCAGGGCTTGAAAATGATAGAAATGCGTGCCCAGGGGAAAGCATCGGAGGCTGGAAGAGAGCCAGAGAAGGAGTTAGAGGCGGTGAATCAACTTCGGCTCCATCTCTGGTTGGCAAACAACGCACCAGGGCGAAGCATCGCGTCTCGGACGTTGTGCTGACCGGCAACGCGACCTTGACAAGGCATCACAAGGCTCTGGAAACCAACCCAAACCTCAGCTTAGAACAGTCTAGACACCCTCCAGAGAAGCCGACGACCACCAATTGGCTTGATTTTCTGGAGACAATTTAAACCCCAACGTCTAAGCTTTGATGCTAGCTGTCCAGAATCGGGGCGGAGACCCATTCGCTCAACCATACCGGCGTGCTGACTCGAATGACTGCAGCGGTGGCATATCCGAGGGAAGAGAGACGATCGGACGAAGGAGCCTAGACAAGCTCTTGCCCCTGGGCGTGTGGGCTGAGATAGTTAGTTTCTCCAACAGCAATGACTGGCTGCTCGAAATGAATTGGCCTGGCTCAGGTATTGAGCTGGGACAAGACCGTTCGTATCGGCACGTAGCTCGGGATACCCTTCCTGGGAACTCTCTGGCCAAGTTCGCCATGCTAATGTAGTGATTGACGCGTCAGCTACTAGCCACGATCTCGTCACGACGAGCGGGCTCGTCCGGATTCCCCTCTTCAGGACATGGCACGAGAAACCCCCTCCCCAGTGAAACGTAGCGATTTTCGTGGGATCAAGAGCCATCGGCGCCTTTGTCGACCGTTAAATCTTCCGCTGATGTTCCATCAACGTCATGGCATATCCGCCATTTGTTCGTTCTCAGTTTTGTGACAAACACAACCCAAGTGACACTCAAGAGGGGAGTAGTAACGGGCGTCTCGTATGCGCGACGCGCCCACCCTCCCCCGATAGCTCTACGACGCTACGCGGCGCTGAGCTACGCGTATAGGCCGGTGCGCAGGCGATGAAGACACTTTGGGACAGCAGCAACGCAAATCGGGGACGCTTGAATGTCAGTAACCAGGCTGCCTGTAGCTGCATGCTCAGCGAATTACCGCCACTCTCGCGAGCAGATCGGTAGGAAGTTGCTGGTATGGCGAAAAGAAGCTTGATTGGGCGCCAGAGAAAAGTAGAATCGACACTGTCGCCCTGGTGGGTGTGTGGTGCCAACATTAGGCGGGACTGCGGCAAGACATACTGGTACGGGATGTCAATATGCCTTCATTCCCAGGGCGTCATATCTCGACCTTCATCAAAACACGCTCGTTCTGGGCGACGGCGTAGCCATAAGCCGCGCCTTGCATGGAATGGGGCGGCCAGTGTTTCCACTTTCAATCGATCGCATAAGGGGAGATATGATCATTGGCTGCCTACTTTTGGGGGGAATGAGGAGGACGCTACGACGGAATTGAGATCGAGGCCCGCAAACGTTGGCCCACGAATAGGAGTTGAGCCAATAGACAGCGCAGAGTTACGAGAAAGGCGACTGTAGGAACGGCTGTATGACAAGCTGCAGTGGCACGTCCCGACGGTTTCTCTAAGGGCTTCTCAACGTGAGGCGTTGCAGTCCGGGTACCCTGTGCTTCTGCTTCTCGATCTCCCAGGACGTGTGATGCGGGTTTCATGCGGTTTCCCTTCCTCCCGCTGTTGTACGACAGCCTGAGAACAACAGGCACCGAGGTCCTAGAGTAGCCGATAAACCTTTTCCTTATAGTCGCCAGAATAAGAGGCTGATTGGCGATTGGCCGCTTTGCCGACTACCAGTGTAGAGCTGTCCCGATCTTAAGGTCAATATGGACGCATGTCCGGTCTTTGAATCCGGTCATCATCCCAACAAAGGTTGCTCTTCATACGTGCACCTATACGGTAGGGAGGGTGCGCCTATGTTATGGCTCAAATACCGAATGAATGCTACACCGATGGGGTTAGGGTCCCATCGGCTTTCTAAGCCTAGCTCATACGGCTTGAGATATTAATGTTGCGTAGGCTCCAGTGATGCCATCCCTGTAATCGAGGCCGGTGGACCACACGGGCGGTAGACTTGGCATAAGCGTCCGGTCGTCGATACCTGACTGATTTGCTAGCCATTGTCTTCTAACTGTCAGCTTATCCGTACCGGAATGTAGTCGGGGTAGCCGTCAACTGATATCGGCGCTTGATGCTCCAGCACAATACGAACCCGGAATCGACAATCTCCCACATTGCACAGAAGGCGGCGAAGATAGAGAGGAGAGAGGAGGCCAAGGACATTCAGGGATAATGGAACCAAGGGGAAACCTCGCTAAGGGGACCAGCACCCGTCAAGAGATACCACTTGCGTGTGTGTGCCGGAAAGCCAAATATGGACGACCTGGTGGCAGCCTTCCTCCCCCCCCGCCTCTCTTCCTCTAATCGAAAATTGGCCTCTTCTGCTACGACTGCTACTAAGTGCCATGGCGCTGGAGCCACGAAAGCAACCGAATAGACCCTGCCAAACCGACTTAGGCGAAACGAAACGGCAGATGTCGAGACGAGCAACGCGGCTTTGTCACGATGTTTGTAGGGTTACCGCATGGTAGGGATCGGATGGGCACCGGGGCGGCCGGGGCGTGCTAGGCGAATAGACGGCCGGCCAAAAACCAAAAAATTTTCGGGTTTGCTTCGTCAACCTGCAGCCGGGGGACGGTCTGGGCAGCTTCCTGATCGAATTCTTGAGCATATATGGGAAATGCTCGACCCGTCTCATGCGAATCCGCATGTAGAAGAAATCTCGATGCGACACAGAAGTGCCCACCCCTCCTCGACCAAACAACGAGGTCTCTCGCGGAGGCATGATGGCCGCAGATCGAACAGCCGGCTTACCGACTACCTCTAAGCAGAGCCCTCATATAGTCGAATCCGTAATAGCTTCGTAAATATTTGTACTTTCGGATACGTAGACTCGCAGTCTGTCGGTATGACGGGCGGTGCATTTCCTACAACAAGCAACACGAAGCGTGCATATCACATTAATGACGGTCCAACCCGAGATGCTGCTGTCGTGGGACGATATTAACTGTATCCGCGGCCCAATCATCTAGGGTTCCCGTTAGGTTAAGTACAGGTCAGCGCACCTCGGAGGAGGAGAGTAAGCGTTGCTTGGACATACCTAGATATCCGACGAGTCTGCCGCAACGCTCCTCGCGGAAAGAAAATAGTCATAAGTCTGACGTCTTGCCCACAACGACAAACCACGGATGGGAATACGTGCGAAGGAACAGCCGATTCGACGCCATCATTGGCCGAGGTTGCAGACGCGACCGGATCGAAGGGTAGCATCATACAAGAGGCCGGTAACCTGGGTCAGCCGTAGGACGGCTCTGCCAGGTCGAATTCTCAATCGGGCAAGTGCTAAGTGCTCTCTAACTACAACGTTAGGATATATTTACGTATGCAGCTACGCGCACATATGTGCCTGGTTTACCAAAAGTCAGTGATGAGGGTATCCCGAGGTGGATGAACAACCGACAACAGGTCGCGCATGTGTAATGTAGCATGGCGAGGCACAAGGTGGCGACGCTGGGAAGAACGTACCTACGGAAGACGAGACGTATCCAGGTGCAGGTTGATGACGGCGTCTTCTAGAGCATCCCACACATCGACTGCCGTCCGCGGGAGAGAGGAGGAACGTAGGAGATGCACAAATAGACCCAGCCTCAGCCTCTAGACCGACCCTAAGCTGACGATGTTGAGGAACGCGAGGCGCCGGGCGAGTGGCAAGACACCCCGACCCAGAGCAAGTCGCCGACTCTAAGCGGGCTTGTATCAAGAAGAAGGAATAGGGTCAATCTCGACGAGGGTGCCGTCTTTCAGGTCGGGATTCCGACGGACGAACAGAGGCAGCGCGCGAGCATTACGAGCGTATGGCCAGCTGGGGGGGTCGGGTGGAGCATGGACGATAGGTAGGCGGAATACAAGTAGGTATGTGTAATGTAAGGGAGAGAGGTGACCTCGGGAATATGGAAAGTTGAAGCTGGTGTGGGATATCAGGAGCAGGGAGGTCAGGGGGGAGGGTGGGGCCGTGACTGCTGGACCAGTTTTTCCGGGTGGCCCCTTGCGAGAAGGGGTGTTTGACGGGGTATGTGCGTTAGGTAGGTACCTTCGGGCTCCCAGATTAGGTACCTAGATACCTAGAAATGTACCTTTGTACATCACATATTGGTACGTGCCCCTACGGGTGAGGTACCCACCTGCCTAAGGTCCCTGCCCTATGCATCTAAGATAGGAAACATGGAAGTTAACACATACCCAGGTACCTACCTACATCACACCTTAGGAAGTACCTACCTAGGTGGGCAGGCAGGATGCAATTGTACATCATCTAATGACCTACCTTATGCATAGAGAGACACATGCCGTCGCGGTAAGAGGGCGAGAGGACCAGAGGAAAGTACCTGAGGAATACATGAAATTCTCCGTTTGTTATATGTGCGGCGAAGTACAAACGAAGTCGTGCCGGAGAATTCATTCTTAGACATCCGTTCTAGGGGTCCCTACCCGACCTGCCGACCGCCCGAGCCCCTTATAGACAGGGTCTAGAATCTGCTGCGCAGAAGTACTACCTCATCGGAGAGTGCCTACATATATGTAGAGGTAGGCATGAAACTACCGGAGTCCCTACCTGGGCAGGCCGCTATGGGTACTTTAGGCGACCTACTTATAATAACTTGAAGGCACTCACTACAATATGTTACCCGCCTTTTCTACAGGAAGTACATGCGCGCCTCAGGCTTAGGTAAGAGGTAGGTAGGCAGGTCAGGAAGGTATACCCAGATAGAAGTACCTAGATAGCACGTACCTACACGCTATCCCAAGTACCGTAGGTGGGTAGGAGGTATCTAGGTGGACCTATGAGTAGACGTATAGGAGGTAGAGATCAAGAGGTAGGTTAGGTACCTAGGTACCTACGTATGTAGGTACGTATGGCCATGTACTCCGAGTAGCGGACCCTGTAATGGCCCACCCCCGTCGATCCCGTAACATCAGTGGGAGGGGCACGCAAGGGACCCGGCAAGTGGTCCATCTAGCGATCCAACTCCAGCAAGTCCAGCCTCTTCAAAGCCCACCTCACGTCCCGTAGGTGCCGCTCTTAACGCATGTGCCTTACCTCCGTTGCAACAACAGCTTGATCCTCCCATCTGCCTCTTCTGGGCCGCTGCCGGTAGTACAGGTGTAAGTGGGAATCAGTTGCCGTCAACACTCTGGCCAATGGGAGGCGTCGAGGCTCTCCTTGTTCAGCCTCATCAAGGGTGTCGTTCTTGCTTTCCCGCGTGATAATTGGCCGGCAATTTCAAGTGTGGAGGGGCCAGGGAGGAAGGCAGGCCAATTTTGGGAGGAGGGGGGAGGGGAGGAGAAGAGGGGGGTGTCCCAATAATATTTACGATCCTTCATTACGAAGATATCGAGAACCTCTACCTACCTGGCCCTTTGACTCTGTCGTATGGTGCAACCGCGGTTGACTTATATGCTACACAAAATTTCTTCTTATTTTATCTGGTTTTTTCTTTCTCGCTTCTCTCCCTCCTTGTTTTTTTTTCCCCCTCAGTCCCCGCCGTCCCCCTCCCCCTTTCCGGCCCCCACCCACCTCCTCTGTTTCTTTCTTCCTAACCTCTCTCCCACTCAGTTTAATTTTGCTCCCAGTCTCACGTAGAAACGAGACCTATCGGCAACAGCCAACGCCAGCTATTTTTAAATCTAGGGGCAAGTCTCTGGGTGGCATCGGAACACGCTCGGCGAATTCTCACGAGTTGGAGAGAAAGCTGTCTTTTTTCTTTTTCTGTCAGAATTCACATTCCCGGCCAATGTTGTACGATAATAGGCTCCTATCCTCGCCCAACATGTCGTCTTGTCTATCCCACCAATAAATAATGACATTTTCTCAAATGAGCGTTGCATGTCCCCGACTATTCGGAGCATACCAATAGGGGAGGGCACACCTTATAAAGAATGGCCTGATCAATGAATGATTCCATATCCCACAGTCTCCCTTACGCGGCTGTCGTTGGCTATTATTACATGGTGACAGGGCCAGGAGTACGACATACCTACTTATCCGTCAGCTACCTAACCTTGATAAATGCTTGTATCCATGTACGTACCTGGTGGGCGTGTGTGAATAGAAAATCGGACGAAGGCGCCTTTACTATTCGTATGTATAAGCAAGTCCCACTTTATTACCCTTGCTGCTCTGGGGACGGCAATGATACATTGCAGGGGGCCCTTCTTACCCCCGTATTGAGTACAGACCCAACGTAGCATCTGCTAGACTACCATCAACTCCGGCTGCACTTTAGGAAGACTGATCGAAGGAAGGGCTAAGCTCGACAGGAGGTGGGTTGCGTACAAGTTGTGTGTTTTTTTTTTTTTCCCAAACCCCCCCCCCCCCCCCTACTCATCTCCCTTCCCGAAAGAGAACAGCAAGAGATAAATACAGGATGCTTCCGCACATCTACCTGGAGCAGATCTCCCTCGTTCTCTCCAGGGCACCCTTGTAAAAAAGAGCTCATTACGAGTTATCTTAAACTATCTGAAGTTCGAATTGCTTGCCTTTGCTGGCTTGGACTCCGTGGTCCGTCGGTAAGGTCGCATCGCTTGACTGCCAGCGGGCAGCATCACCCACCGGCCCTCGTCATCCATCATCTTACCTAACTGCTCTTTTTTCTCCTTTTCTCCTTCCTCGACACGCAACTTGTCACGCCTCTCTTTTTTTTCTTCCCCTCTCTCCCAATCCGAACTCGTCGCCTCCAGATTACCACCACTACTTTAATCATGAGCGGAAGTGGCGGTTTCTATAAGTACCGGTGCAAGTACTTTTACACCCACAACTGTCCCAATTGGGTCTACGTCAACAACTCTCCCTGCGCAAGCTGCTGTGTAGGTCGCCCAGGCGGGTCTGTGCGGTCCGCCTTTTCGCTAATTGCTCGATATCCAGGCCGAAGGACGAGATGTCGATGGAGCGGTTGTCGAGATGCCCACTTGGAGATACTCGCACGATATCTGCGTGCCCCGGGTTGAAGACGGCATTATGCACTACACCCTGATGGAAATTGTCAACATTGACGAATCGGGAAGCCAATGGATGCTGAGGTACAAAGTCGGCCATACCCAGATTCCCGCCGTCATGACAACCAGCGCCACTCCAGGCGTACCAGTCCCGGCACCTAGTTACTAGCTCCCGTGAAGATAATTATGGATGAGCCAATCACGGCGAGCGAAACGACATCGAACGTCACGACGAGATGGAAGGAACCGTTAAGCCGCTGGACCATTGGTTAGAGTCATGGCTGGGATGATGGGATGATGGCTCATAGGCATAGTCATTGGAGAGGTATCCAAGACAACAGGGATGTGGGGCGCAGCCACCAAGCAAGTAGGGAGGAGGCCGAGGTTGTAACGATGATGAAGTCAAGTCAGACGACGGCGGATATGGCGGCGAAATTCCTTGCCAAAAGAAAAAGAAACCTCTTCCCGCGCTATCTCGGGTAAAGATTTAGAGTGGGTATTAATGTTAATTATAGCAATTTGATCCCGAGCGATTGCCCTAGGTTAGCTGGTTAGAAAGTCGAAACAGGGACAACTCACTATGCAATGTCGAGAACAACACCCAAGATTTTGATAGTCAGCGTGCTCGCAACAGGGAGTGACCAAGGATGTATTAGCACACTACGGCTCTCTCACATACTCAGCTATCTCATAACGGGCATTGCTACCTGCGCATTGCGTAGCTCAGCTCGGAGCCAGGGCGGCTTTCTATTTCGCTTAGTCTTGATGGCTAGGCGTCAACGAAGACAGCCATAGGAGCCGCGAGAGTGCCGGAACCGCTACTGGCCAGTCCTGGTCGTTGCAGGACGCAGCGGGAGCGGCAAATCTACCCGGAAGGAGGCGATATGGGTTGTTTGGGCGGGTTCAACAGGGACCAGGTTGATGGAAAGGGGTCAATTGTGGACACGTACTAGTAGAGGATCAGCAAGTTAAAAAGGCCGTCGAGGTCGCGCTAAGGAGCAGGTGACGGCGCCCTAGCTGCCAGCTGTCCAGCTGCAGTTTAATGGCTAACAGCAGAAGTCCCCTACCGCGGACGGCCACCAACCGTATAGGACAGGAAGAGAGGGACACATGGAATGCCAACGTTACACACACCACCCCGACCACTAGTCGCACACGAAGTCTAGACATGTATTAGGAGGGGACATACAGGATCACTCGCCTGGGGCTCTCTGCGTTAGTCACCACGGCTGCCGCGAGCCTCGTGATGGCCGATCCCACTGGGGCGTCTAGGCCGCAGAGCGCCCCGCAAAAGAAGAAGAAGAAGAAAAAAAAAAGGTCCTCCAGCAATGCTCGATATCAAGCTTGCGGCAAAGGCGTCCGGTTCCCACCTTGGGCTAGATTTGTCGTAGATAGGTATGGCTAGGTCCGCAACTCGTATGATCCCCGTGGTGGCGGTGGTGTTCCCGGGGGAGTGGGAGGGGCCAGCTGGGGAGGAGGGGGGAAAGGGGGGGTCCGTATACCGTCAACTGGGGGAGCGAGCAGGGAAAGCAAACCTGGCCTCGGGGTGTTCAAAGCAGAGACCTCACTCGCGTGGACTTTGTAGCCTCACACGCTGGCCGGGAGAGGAAAGAGAGCAAGTGGCGAGACACAGACGATGAAAGTGGTTGCTAGGCGATGCGGAGCCCATTGCCGAACTGGCCCGTTGACGAGTGGGTTCGGGTGGGTTGGGGTGGGAGGGCGGCGGGCGAAGGCAGCTATCCGAAACGGTCGCGTTATTAGAGGCAGCTAATGGTGGGGGGACAGGGGATCATAAGCCGGGTTGTGTGGGGTTCCACCTGCTCGGCCACGTGCCTGGCCCTTGGCCCTCGACCCTAAAAAAGCCGTGTTCGCTCCGTACCGCGGGCTCCGCTTTTAAGCGAGCAAGTACCTACCTACCTGAGTTAGACAGACACACGACGACAAATTGATCTATGGCTATGCCTCTTCCCAGTGGTATCGGCGTCGGGTTCAGGGTTGCGCACATGTGGATTGGACGCACGCCCGACTAAGCAACGCGCCATAATCAACACGTCGAATCCCTTACCTGGCACACGTACATCGTTGATCCCACCATCCCACCACCCTGATGGGAGGCAGAGGTAGGCACGTACCCGGGTATGCATACACGCTTTCAGGTGCTTCTTACACTACATATACATACGGGCTAGTACCTGCCTGCGTGCTAGAATACTACCTACCGCCTACCGAATCTAGCCTACTCTCCTTGCTGCCCGCCGCCACCAGGTACCTTGGTCCGAGGGAAGTACCCGAATGCTACAAGCTTTCGGGCATATCCGGCCGGATTGAAGAGGCCCCATATTCGGATGCGCCAGTGATACCTGTGAATTCTTCCGTCCGAAATGCCTTAGATACCTGTACCTACCCCCTACCCCAGGTGCTTACCCGACAAGACAGGTACCTTGCCTGTAGTTTCTCGTCAACAAGGGGGTGCCTATACTTGCCTGCCTACCTACCTACCTACCTACCTAGGTACCTACCTACGTGGTCTTTAGGAGCCCTTCTCGTGCTCGGCCGCCCGCCACGTCAATCCCCCCTATATCCCATGTCCCTCCCACGCGCCACGACGTCCGAGGAGAGAGACGCCGAGGCTGCGTAGAGGGAAGTTCACGCTGCGAGATGCCAGACAAGACGTCGATTGTGTGCGCGTGCGGTTTCACGAGAGGCTATTACTGACCCAAGCCCGGACGACGGCCACGGACCGGCGACCATCGAATGGCACCCTCGTTAAAATAAATTGCATGTCCACCCACGGCTGCAGCGACTGGGAGTGCGGTAGTACCGCTGCGCATCCCGGTTCCGCGGTGCTCCAAGGGCCCTGCAAGAAATATCTGACAGCTGCAAATCTCGTACCACCAACCGCCGATTGATGATGTCTCATCTATCGTGTTACGACGTGCTCCGTGGTAGGCCATACCGTCGACGTATCCCTCTCTGATTTGCACCGTCGGCCCAGCACCGCATCTAGAGCTTCTCATCGTACATACATACAGACCTACATCGCGATGTCGCCCACACACCGCCCACAACCCATATCCACAATCGCATCCACAACCGCATCCATACCCGCATCCGTGCCCGCATCCGCACGCCCGCTATCGTCCAGCCCGTCTACACCCCGCCATCGCCATGCGCGTCAACATTTCCGTCGAGATCCGCGCAAACGGCCCTGTGACAGCACGACATGTCTGTGTTGATCGTCAAACTACTGCCAATGTGGTGCCGCCCCGAGGGAAGCCATGCCGTATGGCTGGTCCCCGCCCGAGGGTGTGCGGTCGAGCGTGGTAGAGGTGCCGCGATGGTCGGATTCGCGTCGGCCAGAGACCGATGCCATGGACCAACCACGAAAAGGGACACAATTGGCACTCGAAATACCACCTACGGACCCCGCCTCAGCTAATAAACCCGTTCTGGGATACGACGTGATGCGACGGGCGCCGGGACGGTTCTATCATCTGTACGATCCTCCGGCATCTAGAAACTCCCAAGTGGAATCCTCCAATCAACATGACTCGCCACCTAGTATACATCCGACGCGGGCGGAGACTACCGACCCAAGACCTCGACGTACCTGGTATTCCTGCGCTAGCTCACGACATACGTTCGGTTCGAGGATGGCCGTTAACGAAGGGCACAGGCAGGTAGGTATACATTTTAAGTCGGAATGGTCGATTGAGGGAGTAGTCGACCGGGCCTATCGATCGCATCAAGTGATCGATCGACCAGGGCGAGCCGGAGGCGCGAGAGCTGCCTTTGCCATCCTGGAGATTTCGAATGCGAGATCGTACTTGAGTTCGGCGATTAGGAGAATCCACAATCCGTAAAATCCCAATAATTATTGTAGAGTCGCCCGCGTTCCTAGTCCGTTACGCCATCGTCTCGTGCAACATTGAACTTACTGTACTGGGGCCCCCGGAGTGAGGTGGTATCTCCCAAGAGGACATCGAACGTTGTTGCTCGGGAAAAAAAAATTCGGAAAAGAAAAACCCAACCGAAAACCGAAGGCCTTGAGTGAGGGTGGGTGATTCCATCTCGTTCTCGCTCACACGCATACACGCTAAGGCACTGGGGGTTGCTTTAGCCACCGTTCGCTGTTCACATCACATGTCATTTGCTCCCCCGCTCGAGGGCGGTAATATTTGACCTTGGCGGTGGTGGTGATAGCTTCTACACCATCTGACACTAAAGAGGAGCATCATGCAAGCTGGAGGGTATTAGGCGATCTGTAAATCATCCGTGTGTGGTTAAGCGTGAGTCCTACCAACGGTTAGATCCTGTCGTCACCCTCGTGTCGCTGATCGTCGCCTAGTAGGTATTATAAAGGATTTTTGACGATGGGGACCACAAAACTGTTGGGGCACAACTCTCGGCGTTCGGCGTCTAAGGAGAGTATTTCATGCACCGACGCCTGTAGCTATTCAAGTGCGTTCTAGCACTACCGTGCTCATTCTATGACCACTGAACATTCGTTGAGCCTGCCAGGCTTGAAGCCATTCGTCGGCGCTCAAAGCAGCGCTTCTAACCCACCCCCCTCCCTCCCGCCGATCCACGGAGATCTCCTAAAAATAGCCGGAAATTTTGAGGGCGTCTTATCCTCGAAATAACCCCAACCCAAGGTCTTAAATCGAGGTCCGAGTTTACGAGATGAAGTAAAGCGTCGATATAACACGGAATCCGGGTTAACTCGAGCCGGCTGAAATATTAATTAATGATAGCTGGAATTTCTCTGTGAGCCATTGAGCAAATATAGCGCGAGTAGAGTAGCAGGGTGCAGAGAAAATTTTCTAAGCGCGATTAGCGAGAAGTATAACGGTGTGTACTATAACGACAACAATTTCCTACGCCCCGGAGGGTGTGGCCTATTGGTGTAGTCGCGCAGATAGTCGACTGGTTTTTGGTGTATTAAAGGGGGGCCTGCCAACAAGGAAGCTAATAGCTAGGAGTTACCCAAACGTGGCTATGAATAACGCAATTTCGATCTTGAGTCCCAGGATCATTTGTGGAAGTCTGGATGCACGTACGCTCAACCTCATAGCTCATCTCTACATATCGTCCGCCGGACAACCGTTGCGGCAAGCTTTCCTCGCGGAAGCGGAGAGTTGGGCGTGGGGACAGTAACTGTCTAGCCTTTCTTATTCGTCCAAACTGATCAACCTTGCCCATCAAGAGGAAGGTTAAGAATAAAAAATAAAATAAAAAAGATCACACCCGACATGCGTGTAGATTGTTCGGCGCCAAGGCACGAAAGTAGTTTGTGCAACCCGAAATATGAGACTCGAAAGCATCTCGAACAGCAGAAACAAAACATCACGTGCCCTTCTTCTCCATAACCAGATTAATCTCCCACATTTGTATGTAGGCAAGTTCCTGGTTCGAAACCGAACTGCTAGAGTATGCGGTAATTCGCCCTTCTGTTTTCGCTTCTTCTTTTCTCCCTTTTGTTCCACTAACCTGGCATATGCGGGTGACCCCTTCGAAACCCTTAGAGAGAGTAGTGACCTGGGAGAACTGCATACCAATAGACATTGGACGTGCCACATGCATGTCCTCACCTAGTAACAACCTAAATTATAATATTGATATAGCGTCACGCAGCTAACTTAAGCGACGCTTCGCGGTGTAGGTTGTGCGTAGAGGGAGCAAGGGAACGTAGGTGAGATAAGGTATATTGACTGACTAGTCCATATACCTATACCGATGTGCTCAATCAGCTGAGGTAAGCTAGGTTGCTCTCCACTAGAAGTGTATGCCTACGTGACATATAGACTTGTCCGCGACAGTATCTGAGGGCCATCAGAAAAGGGCCGCACAACGAACTCTGGATACAAAGTTGATGCGCTAGGAGTGAACGGTATAGGCAATTGGGAGATCGTCAACCATACTAGCAGCCACTTTTTTAAAATGGCAAGACTCGGTATAGTCTACCACATGTAATGAAAGATGAGTTGAGAGTTCAGCTCAGACCCCTCACCTTTGAGCAAGCAAGCCCGTATATTAGCCTGAAACCGTCCCGCCGCCCACCGATATATTTTATATTAGGATGAACTCGTTTATGGCCGCATTCGTAGATGCCGCGACCGAACGGAGGGGCCGTAGAGTGCGTTATTCGAAATTTTGGGGCCTTAGGAAGTGTTCTTATATACACTCCTCGGGTGGTAATTTCTATATCTCTGTCGGCCCGTGCTTGATGCCCCCGTATATTACTTACAGTTGGCCGTTTTGCAAGCTTCTCCTCTCACTCCTAGCTGATAGGGGCTATTGCCAATGAGCGATGGCAACGATCTCGGTTGCCTTTTCACAGCCAGGACGCTCACAGAGAATAAGTCCGATTTTGACAAGTTTCTTATCTGATCCGTCTTATGACCCATCTCACGACGTGGAACGTGGTATATACATCATCGCCGAATTGCTACTGCAGAACCACTATCCCTAGTTTTCAACTCCAGCCTCCTAATAGTCTACGACGCGAACATGATATCAAATTGATAGACTCAGCGCCAGCAACGAGCCAAGCAGGCTCTTGCTCCAATTCCCTCTCCAACTACTGCGGCGGATGAGGGAGGGGGCGCTCGAGGCCTCATTACCGAACCCGCGGCCCTGGTACCCAAATGTCGTGTTCTGGATGACAGCAGGGTTATGGCAATTTCCGCCGACAATATCCACGTTTCTTAGGTCGTCGGGGGTCACGAAGAACATGTACTGCTTCTGATCGATCCCAGAAAACCCCGAGGTGTCATAAGGGAATAGGTCCGAGCTGTCTGTGGCGGTCGTATTGCGCAAGAAGATGCACTGCACCTGGCCCGGGTAGTCCCGCACGAGTTGTGGGTAGTCCCTCATGATATCCGAATTAGATGTGTCGGCTACGAGCACGAATTTGCGTTGGGGGAACGTCTGGAAAATCTCGTCGAGGAGCGCCCTACGGATCGAAAGCGTCGCCGACACGTCCGAGAAATTCAGCGGACGTGTATCGAAGGACCCTAAGGGGTACGTGTTGTATATGAATCTTTTTTAGTGGTGAGGGGCGCGTGTCAGCTACTCTCTTGGTGATTGGAACCACCCCGTTTTCAGCCATTCAGACCGCTCAATGTATACGGTTAAAGAAGAGACAGGTAAAATACTTACTCCATGTAGTTCCTGGTGACTTGTTCCGGTGTGGTGGTGAGATAATGGAAGTGGAAGTTGGGGATGGTAGTGGACCAGTTGGCGTATATCTCGGGCATATTCATCCATGGTGTAAATGGCCGGGCAAAGGAGTTCAGAAGGCCTTCCTTAGGGTCGTATATCTTTGTGACACGAAGGATGTCGTCGACGTCAGAGATAATGGTGAACCCGGTGGGCGGTACGAGATAAGCTGTCGCGTTTCCCGTATCGGTCCCGTTGGCATACATGTAAAGTGCCTGGATGGACGAGGTTGAATTCCCAGGTATCAAATACCCTCCGCCGGTGCCAGTCGTATTCTCAAGAGTGACGAAGGTGTCGAAGTCGCCCTGGTCAGTAGTCGGGTAGGGCAAATTTAATTCTTGTGCCCCCCCTTCCTATGGATACGGATGCCATCAGATGGTGACCACGAAACAAGTTTCCCCAGAACGGGACCGACTTACGGCGTTGATCACACCCCCGCTTGCGTCTGTAAGTGCATCAACATTGCTCTCGAAATATATAGTAACGTTCACGTTTCCTTGCTGGACTACGAAGATAGACGCTGTCATATTGCGGGCCTGCCGTTGCTCCGAATCGCTGAGTTCATCAATATCTGTACCGATCAGGAAGACGTTTGCTAGGTCGTCGAGTCGCTCCTGGGAGATATTAGGCTGCTTATACACATTTCCATGAACCCGGACATTCCATCCTTGCTCGGTCCAGTTCGCATATGCTCTAGAGCGCGTTGCGCGTCAGCAGAGGGGCAACATATGTGGAATTTCACGATACAGCACATACGGCAGATTGAGAACCCGGGTCGGCTGCGCGGCCAGTTCCGCATCGCCAATTCCCAAGGAGCTTTCTACGGCCTCGCCACTAGGTAAGTCCTGGAAGAACTGCGGCACACCTGATGCTATGTAACTCGACACACCACTTCCAAAGCCGTCTAGAACGCTGTTGATGTAACTGCCGGGATCGAAGTCGCGCGGAACCACGCGGTCTTTTAAATTAGGAGCGGGCGTGATCGTGGGATGTGGCGGTCGCGCGGCTGCGGCTGTCCTAGCCGGGACCGGCAGGAGGAGCCATAGCAGCACCGAGAGGAACGGTAATAGAGTCATGTAGTGGGCGTATTGGGTATGTCTTGGAGAGAATTTGGCACTAGGGCACGAAGAGGGTGTTTTAGTGTGAATTCTGCAAAGCGGACTGCCTTCGTTGCTGAAATAAGATTGCGGGGATAGGATGAGTTCTTATAGTGGACGTCGGCTGGGTTTAATGTACTGCTGCCGACGCGATGGAGAACACGGATAATATGTAGTACACATAATAGGCGCTATATGTAGCCATCATCGAAGCGGTGCTTTGCATCCCTCAGTTTCATCATTCCCGGATTGCCCTTTGTGGAATTCAAGGTAGGGTCCTTAAGGCGCGGCCGAAAGGGGGGAGTCGGGTCAGAACCCAACTGACGTAGGTGATGCATATCAACACTCTATGACGTCACCAACCTCCATTGTAACGCTGCTAGAGAGGTACATATGTAAGGCGGGTTCCAGGTCCCTTGCATATCGGTTGGCACGGGAGAACACACGAGGAAGTACCTACCTAATCTCTTGTCTGCCTGTAGGTTGCCTAGGTTAGGTACATAACCAAGGTACCTGACTCCATGCGCAAAAAGTCAGGTACCTGTAGGTACGTAGATCAGGTACCTAGGTACCTGACCCAGACCTGCCTGCCTTAGGTACCTACCTACCTACCAGGTAGGTGGAGATCAGTAGGTTACTTAATGAAGGATAGGTTCGATTCCTAACAGCGCTACTTGGTAGTCTTCGCTACTTAGCTCATCTGGTGGGTAGGCACCTGAGGTAAGTAACCTCTTGATACCTATAAAGGCTGGTGTCGTAGAATGTACCTACAGGCTTAGGGGCAGTTAAGAGTCTAAGGTACATCCTTAGGTACATAAGGCTCGCGGTTGTAGCTTGCACCTACGATGTAGGTAGGTACCTAGGCAGGAACCTAGGTGAGGTAAGGTACCTGACCAGATTGCGCAAAGGGTGCAGCACAGGAGATAAGAGAATTCGAGCTGGGAAGCACGCCCCGTTGCTGGGAATACGATAAGGCACTCTCCTAGGCAGGTTCTGTGGCCACACGTGAGAATTCCGTACGACGTCGTCCACCTGTAGAGTCCACCGTACGTCATTGCTGACGTTGCATAGGAGCATTGCGCAGCACCAAACCGAACGTGAGGTTTATCCAACCCATCTATATTCGCCCGTGTCCTTCTGACTTCGACCGTCCTTCCCCTTATGTGAAATTGTTCGATTCGATTGGGAACCTGCGTCGACAGACACGGCAAGGCTGTGCTGATACCTGCCGGAGTCTTTGGACGGTAGATATGTGGGTACCTATTATCTCGGACGTAGGGCCTTGTACAGGATGTGCGGCGCGGGAGTGGGAGACATCCCTGGGATACCATACTGAGGCCCGGTGCCCAGATGCTATGTCTCGAGGTTGATGCTACGTCCAAAACGTGCGTACAGCTCTACCTTGAGCTGCGTCATCTCGTCTTTAAGCGTGCCGAGTTTGTCTTCGAGTGCTGACACCTCGCCCTCCACCCGCGACGTTGACGATGCCAGCATTTCCTGGGCTTGCGGTAGCGGCAGATGGAAGAACGCATCGCCAATTTTATATCTACACGCCATACTACGCGTCAGCTAGGCAGCGCGAGCTGTCTCTCGGCGGGTTCTTGCAGAGGTGCGCTTACGGTACCGTCTCATCCTCGTCTGCTAGTTCGAGTTCAGTAGTGATGTCGTCGAGTTCTTCCTTCTCCTTCTACGGCGCCGGGCTCCGTTAGCAATTGTACCTGCTATTGAGGGTGAGGCCATAGGTAGGTATGTTGGCGGCCGTACATTCTTCGCCTTGAGCTCTTCTTCTAGGTTTAGCTCTTGCTGATGCAGACGACTGAATTTGTTGATCTTATCCTGGTCCTCCCTACGGACCTCGACCTCGTCGCCGGCCGCCTCATCTTCCTTGGTAAGCTAGCGACGAAAGACGGTAATCAGTATGGCCGAAAGCCCGAGAGACCATTGAGAGCTGAGCGCGGCCAACTAACCATACGCCGGTTCATGACGGGCTCCTTGGGGATTCCCTTGAAAATTGAAGTTATTTCTAGAGTCGACGGGGCAAGCAAAACGAACCCGATATGTTTTGCGGCGAGGAAGCTTATCGGCCTACCTGCAGAGATTATAGGTTAGGTAGGTACCCATTGTTGTCACACATCCAAGCTGCAATGCTCGAAAGCTGCGGGGTAAACCGCAGCTTACATAATGCACAGGATGTGTGGGTATGCACATATATGCCTAAGCTCGGGCCACATGGCCTCTAGCCTATACCTAGGGTTTGCACGACTTATAAGAGGTACCTAGGTACCTACCTCCTCTAAGGTACTCGCCTCCCAACTACCTAACATCAGGTACCTACCCCCTACCGTAACGAAGGCTGGCCTAACAGCCCGTGCAGGTGTGAAGGCAGTAATACTAGGTACCTACCTACCTAACCTACACTGTAGGTATATACCAAAGAAGGGCCAATGAAGGTGGCGGTTGTAGCTTCGGCGAGCAGCACCACTCACTGCTCGCAGGTACCTGCTTAAGAAATTTCTGTCTGCGTCCCGGCTCCGTGGCTGCACTCGCACCGCACACCCGATTTGTGTCTACCATGAATATCCCCTCTCCCGGCTGCGACGCGCCATTGCCAATCTCCAAGTGCTGCCTCACCTTCTGATATGGGCCCTTAGAATTGCGTCGGCGGCTCCGTTTGTTGCTCTGCTGACGATGGGATGGGACCGTGAGTCTTATTGAGTCGTATCACCAACTCTTGTGCCCTCTTGACGGCGCCGTGCTCGGGCAAAGTGCTGGCAGCCCCCCTGTCCATAGGCTGTGATAGCTGTGCCCGTCTACGCGATCGCGGCCCTCCAGCCTCCAGTCAGTCAGATCCGCGCCCGGCGGTGCCATGTCGCAAACATATGCGGACCACGAGTCCGATGGCGCCAACGAAGTCCGCCCGATATTTTATATCGGGCAACATGACTCGGCGAGGTCGGAGACACTGGACGACGTCCAGTACGGTCGGGTCCTGAATGCTGGCGTAAGTGATTGCCGTCGAGGATTCACTCCGCGGTGCTTAAACGTTCACAGTTCAGCTTCGTCACGACGCCCATCACGAATGAGCATTTCCGCCAGCGGGTCACAGTCCTCCTTGCATCCAGCCTCCTGGAAGCTGAGACCAGTGCTCAAGAGGGCGCCCTTCTCGATCCCGTTGTCCCGCCCTTGACTACGGAGGACACGACGCTCTTTCCAGGTATTTATACGAGCGGACTTGTCGCCTACTCTAGTCCCTGGATCAACCTGTCTTCTCCCGATCATGCTGTTGCCAGTATTTCTAGGCAGGTCCTTAACCTCGAGGTTTCTTATGCAAACTTTTGTGGCGTTAGAAGCATCATAGTTCCGGGGCCGAGGAAGGACTCGATCTCGCTAGGAAGCGGCCAGGGGATCGCGCAATATGCCCGAGCCGTCCGGGAAGTTTTATCGATTGGTACTCGAGTTAGCATCATCATTCACATGCCTATGTACCGTGAGCCTGGTCTAGAAGAGAAGGCTGCGCTTTTATCTTCGCCTCGCGACGGCGCGGATGGCACCTCCGGAGAGAGGGAGGTCGACCTCTTCAGCTCTTGGGATTCATGGCATGCGATCCGTTCCGCGTGCGATTATGATGCGAGACTATTTGTCGGTAGGCTTTTCCACCTCGTCACGCCCGAATAGATCGTCTATAGGCATCGCCGCTCTACTCCCGGATACTGCAGCACTAATTAAAGATAAATCAAGCCCTAAAAATCCCGCGAGTCCTTCCCGAAAAAGAATTGCAGACGAGGTGGTTCTCCGAACCTCTCCAGTCTTTAACGTTCGGCCCCCGTACATTTCAAATGAACAAAGTTCGCCATCCTTCCCTTACTCGCCATCACCAGGACATGATCCGCATGTATATGCGCCTAAAGAACGTTCCGTACGTTCTCCTCTGTGACGTCGGCCCGGACCTACAAACTGGTCCCAATTCTGGTCAGGTGAAGGCGGTTGACCCTTCTTCTGCGGCAGACTTCCCAACCCTTGGTGAGGCTGCTGTGCAGAAGCCTGCGAGTAACGGGAACAGATCCCACTCCACTAATAGCTACGCCGCGTATTTAAGACACCTTGAGAGGCAGCAGGAACCGTTGAGCGACTTGGAGCAGACCACCCTAACCAATTTTCAGGATTGGTTACAGTCACCTCTGCAGCCGCTCTCCGATAACCTTGAGTCGGTGACGTACGAGGTGTTCGAGGGGGACCCTGTCAAATACCATCAGTACGAAGTCGCTATCGCGGCGGCTCTTCGTGACTGGTCCGCACAGGGAAAGCCTACCTCGGCTCCTGATGGGGCTGTCGTTATCGCCGTTGCGGGCTCCGGCCGCGGGCCCCTCGTCACCCGCGCCTTGCGCGCCAGCGAGACTACTGGTGTGCCGGTTCGGGTGTGGGCCGTGGAGAAGAACCCCAACGCGTATGTGTACCTGCTACGACAGAATCAACGGGAGTGGGGTGGCCGTGTTGCTGTGGTTAAGACGGACATGCGAGCGTGGAAAGGGCCTCTCTTGTCCTCATCCACCGATGACGGCGGCCCAGCATATGGTAAAGTGGATATTCTTGTCTCCGAACTTCTCGGCTCCTTTGGCGACAACGAACTTTCACCCGAATGCCTTGACGGCATCCAGCATGTTCTCTCTCCTATCCATGGAATCTCGATCCCGGCCTCGTATACTGCCCACATTTCTCCTATCTCGACCCCCCGTATCTATGCCGATATCCGACAGCGCTCGCTCTCCGCTCCTTCGTCTGACGCGAGCACCGCCTTTGACACGCCCTGGGTCGTGCGCTTATTCGCTATTGACTTCGTCGCTCAGCGTAACGTTCCCGACCACCCGCAGTTCCAGCAGACTTGGGGATTTGCACATCCGCTGCCAGGACCTGTGATGGCGGCCGCGGAGACAAGGCGCGCCGGCGGCATCGCTGGCGGCGGGGGCGGAGCCATGGCTGGCGCGGTCGGTGCGAACGATCACAACTCCCGGCACTGCCACCTCACTTTCGTGTGTCGCAACCGCGGTGTTGTACACGGTCTCGCGGGATACTTCGAGGCGGTGCTATATGAGTCGGCAGCGGCGATCGGTAGTGGTGAAAACGGGGAAGGGGGAGTAGGAGAGGGTTCAGAGGGACTGAATGGTAGCATGATTGAGCTAAGCACGCTGCCAGATATGATCGATCGGAAGAGCAAGGATATGATATCCTGGTTTCCTATATTCTTCCCCCTTAAGGTATGTGCAGGAAGCGTGGGCGGTCTCAGCGGAAACAGAGTTCACTACTACAGTCGTGCGCTCTTTATTCGACCTTTTCCTAGCATATCTATATTTACGGTGCGAGGTCGAGTTTGTCTCACGAACGGACGCTAATGGCAGAGTCTAGCAACCGCTCTACTTCCCTCCCGACACGGAGCTGGAGGTTAGCATGTGGCGGCAGACAGACGATGGTCGGGTGTGGTACGAATGGATGGTGGAAGCTTTCATGTGGGTCGGCCCCTCGCAAAAGGTCAAGGTTGGGGGCACAGATCTGTGCAGCAGCCGGAACGTCGCCTGCTTGATGTGAGCCTATGATATGGATGAGTGGTGCAATGGGAACGAGAGCGATCGGTCGTAGACTTTGAGTGGCATAAGCACTACTAAAGACCACAGCCGTCAAGATCCTAGCAACCACTACTACTTCTTCATTCATCAACTATGAGTGACGACTCTTGCTTAGTCGAAAGGTTGAGATCGAGAGCGTAGCGAACAGGTGGAGATGAGACCCGTTTATAAATCAAATCTTGTTTCGTCCTGATGGCCTCCATCGAGCCTGATTCGGGATCGAGATATTGTTGCCTCCATTCTATCTTCTCATCGATTGCAATAAGTGGAATATTCGGACTAATTCAAGCTCTTGGTTTGGTTTTCCCGGGCCGTGTCGGCGTGCTACTGCGTACCGACAACAATCAAGTTTCTTTTTCTTTTGTCGCATAACCTATCGAGAGGGAGAGATACCTCCGGCAGACGATCTCAGCCGTCTCATCCCGTTCTTCGAGCCCTCTTCTCCCGGGCCGGGGTTAGGTAGATAGGTATATAGGTGTCGATTTGCCTCTACTTCGTCTCAGGGGAGTGGGTATATCTCCTGCCGCCTCACCGACCGATCTGATCCGAGTTCTGAGTTCCTACCGACCGTCCCTTATCCGCCCATCTTGACATCCTCGTTCTCGCCCTGGTTCGCAGCTTTGATCCATAATACATTGTTACACCTGCCAGCAACAACGGACATGTTAGCATATCGACCATTTAAGGGCGCAATGGACAGCCTAGCCAGCTATTGCCCGTTCATTTCCTCCTCGGGACTTTTTCGGGGGGGGGAGAGAGTTTTCTTCATTGGCCCTCTCCTTTATGTACTCCTGCGTCTGCTCATGTCCCCCACGTCGAAACCGCCTATAATGTGTAGGGAGTCGTCGTGTAACTAGAAAGCACAGCGCACGTGTACGTCGGAGAGGAGAGGAAAATTTGGACGAAAAGAGGGATGGTGAACACACCGGATTAGGATCTGACCGAGGTCGCTTGTGAACTTCTGGTCGATGAACTCCTGGGCGTTGGTGAGCTGGATGTTCATATAGCTGTCGGAGCTGACGAGGCGACCGCGATACTCGGTTTCGCCCCACTTGAGCCGCACCACGATGTCCTTGTTGACCCTGTTTCGCGTGTGAACTGTCAGCACTCTCTCCCTCTGTTCGCGTGTGGTAGGTTGCCGCCGGATTGCGTACGTCGACCCAGCGTCGCAAGCAACAAGATGAGTCGGTCGGGGAGGGAGGAACGTACAAGCCTTGGATCATGGGTCTTGGGTTGATGGGCATGAACTGCGCGACCGTCCCGATTAGCTGGCATCACAAATACTGGATGGCGAGGATTGGGAGGAGAGCTGGTGGAGGGCCGACGTGCTTACACTCATGGTGGGCAATGGTACGTCTTCGTTCCAGCGGGCTGTGTTTTTGGATGTTGTTTTGACTGGGTTGAAGCTATCCACGATGAAATAGGTAGGTAGGTATGCAAGTATGAAGATACCTAGGTAGATTTTTGTTTTAAAAGAAATGCCTAGGTACCTCCTACTGATGTGATGTCTGTCTCTTGCCCCACTTCTACACCAGGCCAAGTTCTACCTTATGTAAGCGGTAAACAGCCCGCCTCTACGGTAACTGCCTCTGGCCTCGAAAAGGAGAGTGGTTTATCCGAATTTCAGCTTGGGAATATCAATCTGAATGCGCCAGGCCTATCACCTTACTTTCATTTACACAGACTTCAGACCCTCGTAATATCCCACTTCAGGTCCTTGATGCTCACCTCGTCGCCAGCCTTCTCGTCATAATCGTACCATTCACCGTCCCGTAGGCAGTCTATGCTGTTGAACTTGGTCCCCGACTCCGTGCCGTCCGCTAGCCATTCCCCCTAACCATAGGTATGCCTAGCTCAGCCCCTTCCTCGTTGAGGATTGAATCGACGAGAGGGAGGACGTGAGATCTCACCTACCTCTGGAGAGAAAGATGTGAACTCCAAGCCCCGACAGTCGAACTCGATGATGGACTGTCGCTTCGGCGGCTCGTTCTGTTTGTACGCTTTGGGCCCCGCCTTGATAGAGCAAGATGATTCCCGCTGCCGTTCAAATTAGACACACAGCTCACCCGCCCCATCGCAGATGACCCTATGGGTATCTTGGGGACGAACCTTGCAGTTCTTGCATTTCCATACAAAGTTAGCCTCTCCCCTGCTACCACTCAACTCGTTCGTTTCCTGGGGAAATAGTTAGCGGGTGAGCAGCAACGATACTATACCAAGCGGAAAGCCCGGGGGACGGAGGGGCATACAAATCTGTTGACGGCCACCGGTTTGCCGTGTGTCTCCCGACAGGACGTGCATTGAACCGTGAAAGTATACCAGAATGGGTTCTCGACAGTATCCTGGGGGCGGAGGTTGGTGACCCTGGTATTACCAGCCAAATCAGACACGGTGGGAGCGGCCAAGGCAAAAAAAGGAAAAGAAAAAAGCAGATATCAAGGTGCACGATAATCAAGAATCACAGAAAATATCACCTACCCGTTCAGTTCCGCAATCAATGCGAGAGCATACATGGCGGGCCGGTTTTATAGGGCGCGTTGATGGAAGGCGATTTCGAAATGCTAGGGCGCTTTTTGGTTTGATGCCTTGGATACCTACCTCTTTGACATACCGACGTGTAGGCACCGACCTCCTACCTTAGGTAAGCGCATATCATAGAGTATATCGCGAGGTGGGACCTAACTTAGAAAAGGTACCTACCTAGGTACCTACTATCTAGGTGCCCGGGTAGGTACCTCTATCTAATCTCGAGACCTCAGGTTAGATACCTAATGTTAGAGACATCGGTAGGTATTGCGGGGTGCCAATTCCTCACGCAATTTGCTCAAGAATGTATCACGTGACCCAGAACCCGGATCCGTTGACCGCGGGCAAGGCTACGGGTTGATGAGCCGTATTTCGCAAAATGGAGAATCCCCGTACATATCCCCCCTCCGTTTGCTGCCACCCAGAAAAAAGAGGGAAGTGAACAAGACAAAAGATAAAACATACAACACCAGGGATTCGCTGGTCGTCACCGACCCAACTACTAATCTGGCCGTATCTGGCTTATCTATGGGAGAGCGGACGGGATCCCGAGTTTTCCAGATCGTATGGTCGTATGTGATGATTGCTGACTTTACAGTGGTATAAATAACCAGCCTGTGCAACCAGGCCGGAAAGCGGTTAATCGAGCCGTTGCGACCGTTCTAAAATCTCTCTTTCTCTCTCTCTTAAAAAAAAAAGCCCATATTGTCCCCAAAGGCTCTGCCGTTCCTATTATCTCACCTATTAACCATTTATCAACCCGTTGGCTGGTGTCTAGGTATGGGGTCATGTGTTTACATTTGTAAATAATCAGAGAGCCTAGCAGGGCCTCTTAGCCGCAACACTGCAATGCATAAGGTCGTGATGTACCTATCCCTCTTGGGGGTCGTATGCCTTGTGTACCTACCTCTATCCTGCTTGACAGTACCTGCGTTAAGAGGCTCGATAGCGACCGCAGAGAAAATGCTTTCTACATTTAGTCATGAGGTGTGAGTAAGGCACATATCTTAGCGTACCTAAACGTTGTGAACGGATGCTATCTAATGTACATACCTCCCTAGGACAGGTACCTAGGCAGGCAGCTCGGGAACCAGGTACCTACCCAAGGTAACTAACATCGGTTTTCGATATGGGAATATACCCCACCCTTAAGTTTAGGTACCTAAGCTCGACATCATACATGGCAGCCAGAAAAAAAAACTCGTACCATCCTCTCACTGATTGCCTTCATCCTCCATCGCCAAATCGATTGGCGAGCCTCCTCTCACAGGGCAGGCGTCAAGGACGGCCTTACCGTGACCAATCGGGCCCGTGCTAACACGGAAGGGATGTCTGAGGTATGCGCTCACTATGGTGGTCAAGAACGGCGCAAGCGCAGTCTTCCTGTTGCTGTCAACTCTGCCTTCATTCTGGCCGCGTAACATTGCGGCGTTCTGCGACTGTCGCGGCTAGGCGAAAACCAACCGCTGCCGACATCTTCACCGCCTGCTACACGACAATTCTAGGCGCGGCGACCATCATCGACACCCAGAGGAAGAACGAAAGGAGGAGGGAGCTCGATGACAGGCTAAAGAAAGCCAGGGCGGCGTCGGCCAACCTAGCCGCTCAAGAGTCGTTAGGTTCGCATGAACCGAAGGACTACCTCCATGCCGATGTCCCCGGCGACGAGCGCCCTCGCAAGTTGTGGCCACGGAGAAAAGAGGCACGTCCCCACGGTGCCCTCTTCCAAGAGCTAGGGCCTATGTCTGAAATCACTCGTTGGCGGCCCCGGCGCACGTCTTGGCTGCAAACCCAACTAGAATGGGTCGAAACGGAGGCTGCCATCGCCGCCGAGGAGCGAGACCCGGATATCGTTCTCCGGGAGCCAGACAGCGACTCCAAGCTACAGAGGACAACGACGACTATTGTGAATCTGGTGAATCGCCTGCTATGGCAAAGTTGGGCGGGAGAGAGCAGCCGGAGTCAAGATCGCGCAGAGGCGAGGTGGGAATCCAACGGAAGAGAAGATGCCATCTTGCGAGAACTCAGGGAACAACTCCAAACCTCACACTATCCAAGTTATAAACATCCAGCCCGAGACCCTGACAATGCCGCAATGACTCGCTTCCTTCTCGGCGAGTCCATTCGGCGAATCTTCAACCAGGCTTCCAGCTCCAAGGAAGTAGTGGGCAAAATATGCTATAACCTCTTAACTTCAAGTGCCCCCCCGACCATGCACACCTATAACATGCTCATCGCTGGCTTTAATAGGATTGAGCGCCATGACCTCGCGCAGACGGTCATCGACTCGTACCTCCGCAGCACGGCTTGGCCTGCCACCCAGCAAACCATCATCTGTATGCTCAACCACTACCGGGCCGTCAATCGGAAGAAGGGTATGCGAGATGTTATCAAGAGAATGAGAGGGGTCAGGGGCACAGGCCTTCACTTTCTAATCATCGACAAGAGGGCCGTCTATTCGAGACAGTGGCTGCTGTGGGCTACGGAGAATTGCGCCAGCCGTAAGTATGCTTTTGTCCGACGGGCGCCAAGGAGCGATGAAGTCTTCAACACTATTATCAAGGGCTGGCTGCATTACGGAGATGTTGGCAACGCATGTATGGTGTTCGTAGCTTGCCTGCGGAACGGGTTTTCGATCGCCGCCCAAACACTCCAGGAGCTTCTCTTAACTTGCTTGGCGGTGGTCGATTATGCAGCAGCGCGAAAGCTGGTTAGGGGCTTTGCTAAGCACACGGACAAGTTCAAAGCATTGGTCGATGGGATCGTCAGTCAAGAATCGATTTCAACATGCCGTCAGGTCTTGATGTGCCTTTATTACCTGCTGGATATCTGCTGGTTTCCGATAAGAGGAATCTTCTCGCCCTTTGTCAAGGTTTTTGAACGGTCGCTGCAAAAGCTGAAGTTTCTCGTTCACCGAGCTCGATTTGAAGTGGAGATACTAGACACGGATGGCCTATATACAACGACACTCAAAAACCTCAACTCAAGCAACCTCCTAATAAGCCCGCTGAACGCGACCATCGCTACCATGGATCTGGCTAGGCGGAGCAGGCAAACAGCTATAGAGACATTCGTCGGCTTCAGCAGATTGGCGATGCTTCTGTCAATCGACCGAAGGTATTCCGACCTCGAGGCAAGAATAAGACCTATGATTGCGCAAGCGAGAGCGATCATCATCAACATCAAAACAGGTTATGACCTCGACCCGTCTTCCGTCCTCGGCTCGGCGCGACCCGAGAAGGCAACCCAACAACGCCGCTATGATTCTCTCTGCAACGCGCTCCAGGTTATCCGGCTTCAGGCTGGCCCAATGACGCAGGAGGGTATCAGACAGCAATTGCTTGAATATCTCCCGGATCCCGCGCTGGCCAGGCAATTCGAGAGCTCCGGGAATGTGGAAAATATAACGATACGGGCCCTGGTGAGCTTCTACGTCTCGGATCCGCCTTTCCCCGACGAGCCTATGGGCCGCGACTTTTGCGAGACAATAAGACGGCTAGAACAAGAGCTTACCGATGCGGAAAACATGACCAGAGCGATTCTGTTTGCCTACCTCAGGGGCGATATTCAGCGGCAACTAAGGTTCTTGTGCCCCTATTGGTATCAAACGCCCCTGGAAAAGCTCGTTAAGCATCACTTGCGATTGCGTTTCCCGAAGACCCCTCCGGCTGGGGGCGGATCGCAGCCAGGGACTTTTGGACTGCATAGGGGAGAAATTCCAGCAGCAAGTACTGCCGAGGAGCCGCCTGCAGAGGGCGCGGATGACGCAACCGACAATGTCGGCGATTGTACGGCAGAGTCAAGCCGGGGACAAGATCTATTTCGGGCGATCGCCGAGCCCTGTCTTTCAGGGCTATATCCCCCGCAGAACAAGGGCGGGCTGTTTTCCTTCCAGACATTGGGAGGAGAGGCTAACCCGAGCAGGTGGCAGAACAGGATGAGGCGCTACTCGGCGGGATCGGTGATGGATTCGTTGGCCCTGTGGAGGCTCGAAGAGCGCGATCTATGTACGTATATGCACATTTGGGGCGATTATCACGCATCTCGTTAGGCATACAAATAGAAGTCTGTCTGGTGACGAACGGGCTACCGGCGGATCCCACCCGCCGACGATAGCGGTAAAGGCCTAGCCGAAGGCACCTAACAGGTACCTAATCTGAGAGGAGGTGGAGGTACCTAGGTACCTAAGGTAGGCAAATCATCTCAGGTATCGATAGATCAGTAGGTTACTTAACGAAGGATAGGTTCGATTCCTAACAGCGCTACTTAGTAGTCTTCGCTATTTAGCTCATCTCCGGACTACCTACCTTACCTACCGTAGGTACCTATCAGACGGAAGACGGGAGGGTGTAGTAACAAATCCAAGTAGGTTCAGAAGGAGGGTGAAACGCGGTAACAGTTTCTGCGCTGAGAAAAGAGCAGCTTTTTTTTCTCGGCACTCGCAACTGATTGTTTCCCTCCTTGTCCCCTGTTAGGTTGAGAGGTTACGCAAGGCAGGTTACCTAGGTACATCAGCACCAAAGCCACACCGGTTGGAGGCTCCCTAGAGGTACCTAGACTAGTAGGTAGGTGATCATTTTTATCCGAGGTATATAGGTAAGTACTTTTTGAATAGGGACCTACCTCCTCTTGGGAAGATAGTCCGACTGGTTTCTATAGGAGATCCCTGGTATTTACCTCACGGGTATAAACCTACCTCCTAGGTAGCTCCTATCTACCTAGGCAGGTACATAAGGCAGGCAGGTTCAATTGAGTAGAGATAAAGGTAGGTACTTGATATTGCCCAGAAAGAAGAAGGTGAAAGGTGCAGAATAGCCAATTATACCTTGCCATTTGCATCACGTCCCTCCGTAACCCGGATCTACTGGCTCTTGGGAAGGCTCACACATAGGTACTTCCAACGTCACCGCTCACCACGTTCCACCCCGTCCGGCCCGCACAAAGCTCCGCCTTCTCCCACAGCAAACCTGCCTACCTACCTATATTTATGCCTACCCGCGTTCTCCGGACGGCCTCTCTTCGATGCACACTTCTGCCCTCTTCCCGTCACCCCGTGGACTCGACCGCTCACCCGTACCGCCTATACAGGTATACCTTACCTACCTACGTAGTGACGCACTCGCACATACGCGCGCGCGCGCTCGCTTAATCCCCCTCAACTCACTTACACGCACAGCGACGCAGCACGGCTTGCTTCCTACGCTGCCCTCCGCCCCGCCTGACCCATCAAACTGCCATATATCCCCGTTCTCGCCCTTCGGCCCTTGGCCATCCTACCTACCCCTACGTTCCTCTCTTCTTCCTATCCACTCGACTAGCAGCAGACACATCCACGCCCATGGCGCCCATCCTCTCTCCCCCACAGCAGGAGACCCAGTCAACTGGCTACCCGTAACCGGCACCGGCCACAGCGTACACCATCCTGCCGGGTCGGATCTGAACTTGTCGGGACCGTTGCCGTGCTGATATTCTAGGCTGCTGTTCGTTTGCCACTGCACAGTCTTTCGCTGGCTCTCCACCTTCCCCACAGTCGGCAGTTTTTCAGACTACTGTGCATCCCTCAAAACAGTCTGCAAACGCGGGCAGTTCGACGGCTAGCTGTGGTAAATAAACAACAACATCACGCTAGCCACGCTGCCTCTCGGGTTCCTCACAAGCCTCGCCGCCATAGCCCTCGCCACCTTGGTCGAAGCCTAAGCCATCTCTCGTCCACCCGTAATTGTCGTTTCGTTGCTGAAGCGGCTTCTCTGCGTGGCGTGCACGTTGACAGGAAGCACGCCCAATATGAAGTTTGGAAGAAAGTAGGGCACATCAGCACACCTCGACCGGTTCATCTAGCTTTCCGCCCAGCTGCTAACGACAGGGTCTAGTTTGCCTCGCAACCAGGTCCCCGAGTGGGCGTCTTCTTACATCAATTACAAGAGCCTGAAGAAGCTGGTCAAGGCGGCTACGGTGGCGTTGAGGGCCGGAGAGACGGTGGATTTAGCAGGTGGGCCGTCTTCTTCGGGCTTGTGTCGATGCTGGCCGCATCTCCTAACCTGCCACTGATAGAGTTTTTCTTCGCTCTGGACCGCAACCTTGAGGATGTCGACGCCTTCTATAACAAGAAGTTTGCCGAGGTTCACCGCCGGGTCAAACTACTAGAGGACAGATACGGCAGGAGCCCTGACGTTGTTGCCGACCTGGATGATCATGAGAGCGAAGAGTTGATGGGTGCCCTGCTTGAGCTTCGAAACCAGCTGAGAAATCTGCAGTGGTTCGGGGAGATTAACCGGAGAGGTTTCGTTAAGATCACGAAAAAGCTGGATAAGAAGATACCCGGATCGGTCACTCAGCAGCGGTATATAGCCACCAAGGTCGATCCTAAACCGTTCGCCAAAGATGCGACCACGGCACGGTTGATCGCTGAGATCAATAAATGGCTCTCGGTGCTTGGAGATGCGCAAAACTTCGATGACGCCGTGTCAGAGAAGTCTTCGCGCTCGGTGCGCTCTCTAGGGAGAGTGGCCGCCAAGGCCATGTCGAGTGTCCCGCAAGCTATCCTCGACAAGCTCGATGCTGCGATTCGAAACGATGATGCTGCAGCTTTGCGAGGTAGCTTAACCGACGAGAACCTGGTCACTCGCGAGCAGGCCTCCCAGGACATGCTTCTCAACTTCCTCCAGCGGTCCATCTCATCGCGGTCAAGAATATGCATCGCGTACCTCCTAGAGCAAATCAATGTTCTAGACGAGCCGTCCGACTTGAACGAACGGAACTGTATCCACCGCCTTGTCATTCACATTGGTCGGAGCAAATCGTCTCTCGCAGGCGACTTGGAACCCAATGCGGTTTCTCTCCCGATCAGCTCTCACTATACAAATCATTATATTGCGCCGAATGAAGCAAATGGGTCTACGTCGCTCCAGCCAGCGAGCAATGATACCTCTGGATCAGCGCTGCTAAGTAAAGACGACGAGGCGGTGAAGATCTTATGTTATCTCCTCGATAACCTCAGACCAGGCCAGCGGTCTGCGCTGGCGGCCGCCGACTCGCTGGGACGTATTCCTCTGCATTACGCGGCGCAATTTGGTTTCGTAGTCCTCTGTCAGGTCATCATGGCAAAGATGCAGGAATGGGGCCAGTTCGACGTCGAAAACGGGATCGATGCACCCGAGTGGCAGGATAAGGAAGGCAACGCGCCGCTTCATCTGGCCGTTATCGGTGGTCATCCCCTGACAACAAAATGCCTCCTTCAAGGAGAGAACTGGCAGGGTTCAACCCACAAAGAGGGGGCCAGAAGAAAACCCATATCCAAATCCAGCGCCGTACTGGCATTGGCCACGAAGGCAAATTTCGTATCCATCGTGCGAATGCTCGTGGAGGCGGACGTGGATGTCAATTGGCAGGATGCCACAGGCGAGACCGCGTTGCACATCGCCGCTCGTTTCGGGCACGTAGAATGTGCTAGCATCCTCCTAGAGGGTTCGGCCGGGAGAACGACAAATTTGGAGTTGACCGAAAAATCGTTCGCGTGGACCCCTCTGCACATATCGGCCGTGGACGGGCATCTTCCCGTGGCGAAGCTTCTAGTGGAGGCCGGAGCAGATGTCGGAAGGCCAGACTCTTTTGGCTGGACCTCCAAGGAGCACGCGGCCTTGAGGGGCCACCTGGAAATCGCGAAGCTCCTTGCCTTGCATGCTGCCACTTCATCTCCGTCTAGTGATAGCATGGAGGCGACGCAGCCATCATCTCTAGCCTCTTCCTCCCCCCCCGAGACATCCTCGCTCGAGGACCGTCGGTCAGACGGAAGTACTAGAATCCCGGAACCGATCAAGTCCTTTGGCCATCGTTACCTCAAGGATAGCTGTCTCATCATGGTGAGCCTTGGGTCTATGGACATGCGGAAGAACGTCGAGGCTGTCAAGCTTGAACGCGTTCCCCTGGCGGAAGCACACATAAACCAGCTTGATACCGCCTTGTCCCTCGTAGTGTCGGCCAGGGGTGCGCAGGGCGAACCTACAATTATTGATCTGCCGGTGCATGAAAGCATTTCTACGGAGCCAATCCTATTCACAGCCTCGGATATCTCGCATGTAAGACTGCTCTTCGATATCGTGCCGACATACTCCGGGAGCGAGAAGAACAAGATTGGCCGCGCCGTGGCGTTGCTATCTTCAGTTCGCCCATCGCTGGGCACAAAACGGATGAGCCTCCAAGGCGACGTATGCGTGCCAATTATGGGGGCGAATCTCGAAGTCATTGGCGCCGTCAACTTCAACTTTCTCATCATCACGCCCTTCTCGCATCCAAACATGGAAGTCAATTCTCAGCAAACGTACTGGAAGAAATTATCATCGACCATGGTTTTCGGCCACCGCGGCCTCGGCAAGAATTCCCTTCAGAACAAGTCGCTCCAGCTGGGGGAAAACACCATTTCCTCATTTATTGCTGCGGCCAATCTGGGCGCACACTATGTCGAATTCGATGTTCAGCTAACCAAAGACCACGTTCCCGTCATCTACCACGACTTTCTAGTGAGCGAGACCGGGATAGATGCGCCCGTCCATACGTTGACCTTGGAGCAATTTCTCCACATCAACAAGGAATCGAAGTCTGGGTCGGGCAAGGGGTCACCGGAGAAGAAGGGAAACGATGCCAATGGTAACGGTGTGAGAGAGCCGGGCACGAGGCAAAGGTCTCTCTCTATGGATTTGGCCAAGGGTGCGAAGGATAGCCTCGACGAGCGCATGAAGTATACGCTCAACTTCAAGGAGAGAGGGTACAAGGCAAACACGCGCGGCAATTTTGTCCAAGCACCTTTTGCTACGCTCGAAGAGCTCTTCCAAAAAGTGCCCCAGCACGTCGGATTCAACATCGAGATGAAGTATCCGATGCTCTTCGAGAGCGAGTTGGAGGACATGGACACCTACGCGATCGAGCTCAACTCGTTCTGCGACACAGTACTCACCAAGGTGTATGACCTAGCCGGGAGCCGCCACATCATATTCAGCAGCTTCAACCCAGATATCTGCCTCTGCCTCAATTTCAAGCAGCCTAGCATTCCGATCCTGTTCTTGACGGACTCGGGAATCGGCGTGGCCAGCGACATCCGAGCGAGCAGCCTTCAAGAAGCGATCCGGTTCGCGAGTCGGTGGAATCTGCTCGGCATCGTGAGCAACGCGGAGCCGTTCGTGAACAGCCCTCGGCTGGTTAAGGTAGTGAAGCAGACGGGTCTAGTCTGCGTCAGCTACGGGACCCAGAACAACGACTCTACCCTAGTCAAGGTAATGAACCACTCTCCGTAGGACGGCGAACTAAGAAGCTAACTGCATTGTCCTCCCCTCTAGCGCCAGGTGAAGGAAGGGATTGATGCGGTGATCGTGGATAACGTACTAGCGATCCGACGAGAACTTACTGAGGAATAGGAGGTACTGGGGGGGTTATGCTTCAGCTGAGGGCAACTTGCACTCTTGTCTGTACACCAAGTATAAGGTATCCTAACGCCTTCTACAACAACGTACACGTTTCATTGCGGTGCACGCCGCATCGTGCCATCCAAGTTGTTGCGGATACGTAAGATGGGGGGATAGACATTCGGTATAAATATAGAATGGGGTATCCGATTCGAGGTACCGCTTTTTGCCCTGCCTATCATAGCGTCTGCCGGGCGTCGTCGGTGAGGGCCCTTTCTTAGGTGGTGCGCTCAGATTCCATTCATCATCCACAACACATCAGGCGAGGTTAGTACCTGGCTAGCAGGTAGGTAGGTAGATGGCGTGAGGGTGAGGCTACTAGGAGTCGCCAGGTACTATCGTCGGAGGAGGGTAGAGTGAATGAGGTAGGCATGTAGGCATGTAGGCATGTAGGTACGCAGGCACGTAAACATGTTCTCAACATAGAGGCTGAAGAACAGGCCAAATTAGTGAAGAAGCAGCAGATCCCGATAGCACCCTTCCATCTCACTTTAGGAGGTAGTAGGAGGTACCTACTTACTCACTTAGGTACGTAGCTTAGGTACCGACCCGGCGCAAGACTTTCGCCGAGGACCGGCGATCCGCAGCGACGGAGGCGAGAGAGAGAAAACCTCAGCCAATAGGAGCGGCCGGAGGCTGGTAGGTACTCAGAAAGGGGGGGCGAGAGCGGGGGAAGGGCAGATATTACCGCAGAGAGGTAGGTACCTCTTGAAGTAACCCGCCCGTATATATACCTAGGTACCTAAGTATGTATGTAGGTACCTAGGGTAAGGTGTGAAGAGGAAGAAGGAACGGCAGGGATTGCCTCCGTCCCGCTCGGCAGGACCCTACCGCATTGTTGGACAAGGCAGGCGCTGTGGGTGACGACTAGAAGATAGACTAAACGTCAACCGAAATCTGAAATCTGAAAAGATCCGCCGCAATTTTCGTCGAGATTCCTCAGGCCAGCCGCACCTAACGGGTTCTCAAGTCCACCCTTTCCCACCAGGATCACGAGAATGCGGCCTCCATCCCAACCGGCCATCAGAAGCTCGTTTTCTCTCCCGTCTGAATCCTTTTCTTCTGTTCTGCCCGGCCAGTGCACGCACTCAATTAGTGGCGCCATTCCCGGCTCATCTTTGGGACTTACCTGTCACCGTGTCTTCTCGCATGCGCACACTCCGTATTGTATCCTCGACCCCTCTGCCCGCCACTCGTCCGTTCGCCTATCCGTCGTACCCTTCTCTCGATTCCACCAAATCCAGACAACAGCAAGACGAGATAGCGCATTCGCCGTCGCTGACCGACGACACGCGCGTCTCCGCGTCCAGTCGCCATGGCGTTCCAAACGTCAGCTTTGCCCGGCATCGCCGCGGCGGCGACGGATCTGTGGCCCTCCATCATGAACACCCTGATGCTACCCTTCCGGACGCACTCGCTGCCGCTGCCGCTGCCGCTGCCGCTGCCCGCATTCCCTCGGATCTCGGGACTCGACTCGAACCCGCGACAGGCGCTTGCTGAACCGAAGCCCTTTACCGCCTCGCCAAAGTTTGACCTTCCCGAATTCCTGCGAGATCCCCAACACGATGCGAGTCTCGTGCCCGCCCGCGTTACGAAAGGCTACGTCCCGACGCCCTTTGATATCCGGTCCTCCATCTCCAACATGGGGCGTGCCGCCCTTTTCGCATCGAACCCGGTTGTCCGTCGTCTGTATCCGCACTATCCCCTGCTCCGGTTTCTGTCCACCTCGACCGCCTCCCGCCCGTCTTCGTATCCCTTATCGATGATGGCCGCCCCCCAACGGCGGTCTTTCCAGACTGGTGGCTTGTCTCGAAATCTGCTCGCTCATATGGAAGAATCTGCCAACCGGAACCCGGCCAGCGCCACTGCCCAGAACGCATTCTACCAGGCCCTCTTGAGGGCTAACATGCCCGCTATTATCGTCGAAAGATATCAGTCTGGTCGTTTCGCGACAAACGCTGCCGCTGCCGATGCGTACTACAAGGCTCTGGGCATGTTAGCGCCAAGCGCCGGACAGGGACAGCCGGATGAAGAGATTGGCCAGACTGTTAAGAACTTGCCCGGCGACCTAACGCCGACACAGGTGCAGGCCGTCACCCAGGCTCTCGCTGCTCGGTCTCGCGGCGGCAACCTAGCCGTCTCGAAGAACAACCAGGCAACCGGCGCGAAGGACGGGCCGCTGCACGTTGTCGTCGACGAGACGCTGGGGGGCACGGTCTTCCGATGGGTCAAGTTTCTCCTCTGGTTTTCGCTCTTCACGTATCTCAGCTTGGTCGTTGTCACCATGCTCATCGAGGCGCTGAGCGTCCTTAAGCGGCCAGGAGGAAGGCTTGACAGCGAGGTCAAGGCCGAGCATCAGAAGACTCGATTTTCCGATGTGCACGGCGCCGACGAAGCCAAAGAGGAACTTCAAGAAATGGTCGAATTCCTGCGCAATCCCGAGAAGTTTTCCCAACTAGGCGGCAAACTGCCTAAAGGTATACTCCTGGTTGGCCCGCCCGGCACTGGAAAGACACTCCTGGCGAGGGCCGTCGCGGGTGAAGCAGGAGTTCCGTTTTTCTACATGTCGGGGAGCGAATTCGATGAGGTTTACGTCGGGGTCGGCGCAAAGCGCGTTCGCGATCTCTTCGCTGCTGCCAAGTCCAAGTCGCCTGCCATCGTCTTCATCGACGAACTCGATGCTATCGGCGGTCGCCGCAACACGCGTGATGCCGCCTATGTCAAGCAGACTCTAAACCAACTCCTTACCGAGCTAGACGGATTTGATCAGACGAGTAGCGTCATCATTATCGGCGCCACAAACTTCCCTGAACTGCTCGACAAGGCCCTCACACGGCCTGGCCGTTTCGATCGTCACGTTGTTGTCGACCTGCCCGACGTTCGCGGTCGCCTAGCGATCTTAAAACACCACGCAAAGAAAATCAAGGCAGCCAAGGACGTCGATCTTGATGCCATCGCCCTGGGTACCCCTGGTCTTTCCGGAGCCGAGCTCGAGAACATCGTCAATCAAGCCGCCGTACACGCCAGCAAGGCCAAAGCCTCGACAGTCCGCAAAGAAGACTTCGACTGGGCCAAGGATAGAGTTATCATGGGCGCCGAGAGGAAGACCATGGTCATCACCGCCAAAGAGAAGGAGATGACGGCTTATCACGAGGCCGGCCACGCTCTCGTCAACCTATTAACCAACTCCGGCCAAAGCTTGTATAAGGTCACTGTTCTCCCCCGCGCCCACTCGCTGGGCCATACGGCAAGTCTCCCAGAAATGGACAAGTACTCCTATACTATAAGCAACTACCTTGCTCGAATCGATATGGCGCTCGGAGGCAAACTCGCTGAGGAGATTGTTTACGGCCTGAACCAGGTCACCAGCGGAGCCTCATCGGTATGAATATTCTTTTGTGCCATCATCTCCGCATTTGCGCCTGCGTACATACTAACGTCTCCGGCTCAGGATCTCCAAGTAGCGACCGCTGTTGCCTTCGACATGGTTGCAAGCCTGGGTATGTCTACGAAACTTGGGAACATGGAATATGGGAGTCGGTACGATACCCTAAGCAGCGAAACAAAAGCTCAAGTCGAGGCCGAAGTGCAACGCACCGTCAACGAGGCGTACGAACGCGCCCGGAAACTCCTGTTGGACCACCGCAAAGAGCTCGACCTCCTCGCGAAGGCACTTGTTAAATACGAGACATTAAGTAAAGAGGAGGTAGAAAAGGTGATACGGGGCGAGTCTCTCCCCGACCGCATTGCCGTTCCGAGGGGTCCGATGACCGTTCCGTCGTCGTCCAAGCCACCTGCCCCAGGTGAGCTAGCGCCCCCGGCTCCAGGTACGGGAGAAAACGATGGACGACCCCCCCCACCAGTTCCGCCGGCTCCGGGGGGGCTCACCCCCAGCAGATTTCCTCCCGGAACTTCCAGTGAGAAGGGAGATAGCTAGTCTTCTCTCTTGAAGAGAGGCAGTCCCTTTCTGTCCATCTCCAGGCTCTGGCCCCGTTGGGAATAGTCGGCTACGGAACCTCAATGAGCTTGCTATTGGTAGGTATGATACCAGATGGTGTCGAGGTTGAATACGATCAGGGGGCTTGATCATGCGGTGCAAGAGATTAGACTACGCGAAGTAGGTAGGGCGAATGGGATGTCGGGAGTGCTAGGAGATGATAAATGAACTTGTACCCCCCCACCCCTCCAGGCACAGCGATGTGAATTCTCTGAAGCGGGCGGATGCCTGGAGAGTATCCATACGACGATACTATTACTGTATCACCACCGTCACTACCATCACTAGCCGACAAACTCCCTAGCGTCATGTCATGTTCCAAGCAGTCCAGCTATTACAAGAAGAGAAAAAAGAACAAGGAAAAGCATATAGCGATTGTAATGTTAGAGTACAAGTTCTCCTTGCCTTCTTACAATCCGCGCCGTTCTAGTTGTATCATTGTATTAATCCCCGAACGACATACGTTGACTTTGCTCACTGTCACCGGAGGAGCACGGCGTACATCTGATTTGGGCGTCCTTATCCGGAGCTCGGAATCGGACTACGCCTTACATAGGTGAGATATTCTTGAGGCTTGTGGCGGGAACGAACGCCCGTAACTGGGAGACTACGGAACCGTTGATTTCGGCCAGGGTAGTAGAGAGGGGCTCCTACTGGACTGAAAGATGGACAACTTGCCTGGGACTGAGACATCATTGACTACCAACTCTACGCCGCCGAATACTCCCCCAGATTGCTCAAGATCGCAGCACTTTGCGATTCCGTGGACGCAGATGTACGACTTGCCGCCCTGCATTCGCCGCCATCCTATGTAGCTTGCGAGTCGATCTACCTTACCTAGTGACAGCTTACCCTGTTGCGACGATTTCGATGCGGGGAAGCAATGCTAGATTAGCTGGAAGCCGAGCATGCATAGCTTTAGGGCGATGTCGGGAATGCCGGCACGATGCTGGGTTATGACGGCAATGACTGGGTAGATGAGACCCAACTGAATATCAGGCCCGCCAGGTAGTTATACGGAAATATGCAGCGAGGGGCGGATGTTATCTAGAAGTTCCCTGGACGGGATGTGGAGCGAGGACGAGGTGGAGGGAAGTGTTCGTTCTGTTTACTCGTCCGCTCGACGGCACATGCGCGGTTCGATCACCCGGAGTCGCGCAAAGGATCTAGACCTGTGGTGTTATCCGATGTATCTATCCGAGAATCGTCCTCGTACATTTGGGATAGCTAAGCGGGAACTGACATCTCGTAGTCAGCATCATGCGACAGCGAAGAAGGAAGAGAGGGTGCCTGCGATGGCCTACCGTTTCCACAACGATAAGGACTTTGCCGACCTTTGAGCCGATCTCATATATACAAGACATCAGCTGGGTCGAAGTATTTCGAGCATCGCCGTGGTCGGCTTAACCGGACTTGTGGTTTGAGGCTCTAGCTAGCGACCAAAGGGATCGGCCGCACCGATTAAGAGGCGAGCTTATGGTATTTACATTCACGCCGCCACTGATCACCGGGCTCTTTTTAGCAATACCCCCCTTATCTTAGTTGTCTCGGGGCCTTTTACGTAGGCATGAATTGCGAACACACGGCTCACAGGGGGCGCGTTCATTCATTACCCTACTGGAAAGAGGTCAGCGTAGCCCGAGCTGAGGACTTGTTTATGCCCCAAAGGCTTATGCGTACGTACGACGCGCGCAGCAAAACCGAAGAGAGGGTATAGCAACGCCGCCGATATACGGGAAGACGCAGAATCCTAGCACCTATCGAAGCTCGCATTGCCTGACACACTTCCGCGGGCCTTCGCCAGCCCCCCTTTTCTCCCTGGCACACCGACGATTACTCGCAGGAGAGGGGGAGGGGGGGGGTCTCGTCATATCACACCGAATTCCAGAACAGATCCCATCGGCAATCCCTCTCCCTCTGTTACTCTTTTTCTTGAAAAGGAGGAAGGGAAAGAGAGGAAAGCGGAAAAGGGGAACCATCTTCACCTGTAAACCGACATCGCCCTCCATGCAGGTGGCCGCATTCGTGTTTCACATGGGGCTTACTCGCCACTGCCCTGGTGTCTGTTCGCGGCAACCCTGAAGTTATCGATGACAATATGGTATGTACGTATTACATGCGTGTGTGTATGTGTGTGTGTGTAGGTACATACATAATGGGCTGCAGAAGCCGTAGAACCCCAAGCCTCAAAAGAGCGGTGTGGGTTGGTGAGAGCGCAATTTAGAGAGCTTCTACGCTGGTGTTCCCTGGGCACCGATATGACCGATGGTAAACCTTCCAGGCGAGCTCGCCTTGATCCTTCTCGAAGCAGCAGGGAAGTGTAATTGAAGCTGCCAACCCCGACGAGTCGATATCCTAGGAAGAAACGGGACCTTGTGCGCGCTCGTCTCTGTCCGTTTGTATGCTAACGACGAGGCGGAACGAGCGACAGCGAACGTGAAGAGAGCGCGTTGCGTGTTGTCAGTCGATCTCAAACGCTCGTTGCTGAGTTGGTTTGGGTTCTCTCTCCCTCTCTCCCCCCCCTCTCCTCTTCCCCCCTTTTCCCCTTCCCTCTCCATTATCACGATTTAAGAGCATCAAAAGCAGGGACGTTCCCCCAAGGCTGGGTAGGGTGGGGGCATGGCCACGAGCGGCCGGGCGACAGGATAGTATGTAGCAGTAGATAGATACATCTTGCTTCCCCTGATTCTGAACCTGCATATGCAATCCGACGTTAGGCACGTCTCCGCCGAGGCACGGCCATCTGCTCTTTTCCCTTCGCGGCTCGGTCTGGGACGACAGGAGGATGATGCGAGCGAAACCGGATGAGGTTTCTCTTCTCTTCCCCCTTCTCAACCAAAGAGAGATAGGGTGCCGAGCGGTTCCAAGGCTTCTGTCTGCCGCCTGCCAATCGCAACTCTCCTCGGTCAAGACGTCTGCTCTATGCCCCCCCAACACCATACTGCTGCAAGACAGCGTGATTGGATGCAACAGAGAGGTTATACCGCGCAGGTTTTATACACCATCCCCGCGCCGGTAGTTGGTTACGGAAGCAATCCTTCACCACCACACACACGCGCGCTCGCGCGCTCACACTCGCTCGCACAGGAACCGAGTAACCAAATGATCGACCAACAACCGCAAACTCGGGAAGGGCCCCGCGACCCCTCCCTCTCGGTCACAGGTCACAGCGCGCTGATGTAGCAGTCCTAAATGTGAAGAAAGATAATAGATCTTTCCCCTGGTGCGTGGGCAGCGCCTTTCCCAGGTGGGGGGTGAGATGTCTAGTGATAGCCAAGGTAGAGGTCTCCTTGATACGTCAAAAAAGGGGGCAGAGAGAGGAGGTTCTTCGGCCAGAGTGGACGAGAAAGGCATAGGGGATTCACCTTGCAGGTATTCCTCGACCTGCAGACGCAGGGAATAATCATAACAATACATAATACGGGTATAGTGTACTCCAACCCTCCATGTCGTCTCATCTCGTCAATGAAAAGAGAAAAAGTTCCGACTCGTTGGTCCGAATGCAGGTGCACACACACGTACACAACGAATCGGTAGCGTGCAGGAGAGGATCGCGTCGCAGCATTAGCCCTGCATGGGACGGGGGAACGGGCAGCATGACAGAAATGGCGCTGGCGTGAGACCTGCTCGGAAGTGGACCGGCGGATGGGGAGGGGGGGGGGGGGGGGGGTTAGGTGGGTGGTCGAGGTTATCTACAAGGACATCCTCCCATAGAATCCGCGTTCCGCAAAGGGAATTAAGACGCCATCGCACTCGGTGCTAGCTGGGAGGAGTCAATATCTGCCAGGTGCCGATTTGGAGAATGGAGAGAGGGAAAAGAATGCAGGAAATCTGGAGAGAGGGGGGCTGGCTGGGTCAGTTCGTGATCGCATATCTCGAGCGACGAACTGGGAAAGGCCGCAGAGAAATACAAGGGGTCTCCCAGTAGCCGCATCGGAATCTCTCCCCGGGAAAAAAAAAAGAGGTGTCCCACTCTCTACCGTAGCAACCCCCTACCTACATATGTATATAGCAGGCCTCTACTACAATGAACGCTACCTAGATGTCTGTGTTACTGGTCTTATTACGTCTCTTAACTGCCTCGTCAGCTTGTTCTATTATTTGGCACGACTCGGTAGTTGCCGTAGTCATGATGAAGGCTTAACAGCAATACATAGGTAAGTACTTACCTCATATTCATGTTCCGCACACACACCTCTGCTCGGCTTCTTTCTCCCTCGCCACAACGTACGGTACCAAGGTAGTAATACCAGTATTGATGATAGAATGGTAGCGCCGATGTACACATATACATAGCCAACTGTATCGCTATATTTATATATACTAGCCTGAGACGTGACTTACGTGTGAGAGCGCACGCACCAGTGTTAGGGACGTGGGTGACGTTGATTCCAGGCCATACGGATCACCTAGATCCGGGGTTCAAGTCGATGGAACCTGTGTCGTCGGTTGGTAGCTTGCCGTCGCAAATACTGTGCGTACGGAGTTTGTCCCGTGATTGATCCTCCATGCGCTCCCGCAGGGAAGTTGGTCGGTTTGGCGCCTCTCGAAGGCGGGTTAGCCCTCGAGAACGTCCAACCCGCATTCCGATCGCCCAATAATCTGCTGTGGTCTGATCCGGCCTGTCATCTACGCATCATCATGTGGGTTCGCCATCTTCAAAACACCGCATCTACATCCCTACGTGCGACAGCGAGGACTAGGTCGGCGACCAAGGCTAGGGTGTCTCCATACATGTATGTCGGCCACACCTCTCTGTCGCACGCCCTTCACCAAGAACCCCCCCACGGCGGCCTAGCTGCGTCTGTAGCACCGCATATTCCTCCGGCCGGAGGTGTATCCTAGGAACAGAACGAGGCAAGCTAGGCCTCGTTGGTGGTGTACGCTTCTTCACATACACGTATTCACCGCGGGGAACATGAACCCATGTCGGCAGCGCGATTCGTGCCGCGCCCCGGAACTAGTTTCCGCGTCGTGGTTCAACACCTGCAGTCTCTCCCTACGATCCTATGTCACTTACCACTAGGTCCAAAACGAAAAAAAAAAAAAACACTACCTCTAGGCACGCACGTACATCACACG